TTGTCCATGTCGCGGCCGAAGAACACGCTGGGCATCCATCTTGCTGCCCATGCTTCCGCCCGCTCGTTCAGGTACTTCATGGAGTCGTGGTCGTCATTCCCAGTCGGTTGCTCAGATGTAGCAGGCACCATCTGAGGTCCACTGTCGGCGGGAAGTAGTGGGAACCAGGCGCGAAGACGGTGATGGATGGTCTTGTGGAAGGAGTCGCGGTACAGCTGGCGTTGTAGTTCCCGTAGGTAGGCTTGTTGTGGGGAGGTGCGTGAAGTGGCGCTCGAAGTAGCAGCACTCGACGGGTTGAACCCAGCTTGTCTCTGATGAAATCCGCCAGTCCTGTCACGACTGGGCGCGTGTAGGTCACCAGCCCTGTCACGGCGCGGTGCATGGTAAGTACCAGTCCTGTCACGATCGTGTGCGCACAGATCCTCTGCCTTGTTGCGACGAGAGGCCAGGATAACCTGCCGTCCAGCAGCAGCAGCTTGCCCATGAGCTCGTTGAAGTATCTGGGCGGCATTCACCGTAGATCCTGTGGACCGCGTGAGTGTCTTGAAAATGGATCCTTTGCCTGTCGCGATCAGCTTGTTGTGAAAGATGGCGTCGAATCGCTGCACGATGGAAGTGGAGTCATTCCAACATGAAGCAGACCATTTGCCAGCCATTACATCTCGTAGTGGGAGGAGGTCCTCAGCATGGGCACGGAGTTCGTGAAGCAGAGGCTGCCAGCCAGAAATGGTCGTAGTGGAGGCGCGCCACATCGTTGCTGCAAGAAGCGTTTGAATACCCTGCGGGATCGTGGCGGACGCCCACAGCGTGAACGACAGGATGTCCATCTTCGTGAAGCTCGAGGGGGCAGCGCGGATCAGCTTGCGGAGTCCATGAATCTCCTTGGACAGGAATGCTGGGGATGGCGGGTAGAGCTGGCCGGCGTACGAGAAACAGGTGATGGCGGCGGAGTTGTGCATCTTGATGCCCTGCTGGATGGGAGCGTTGGAGTCGCTCAGGATCTGAATGCGTTCCCACCACTTGTTGGCAGGGCCTTGCCATTGGCGGTCAAGAGAGGCGCCAGGGCCGATGTACACGCCGAGGTATCGCGCAAAGCTGTTGATGGAGAAAGTTTGCCACGGCCCGTAGAGCTGGGTCAGAGTAGCACGCATGTTCGCGGTGATCTCGGGCGCTGGCAAGGACCAGGTGGGCACGCGGACGCATTTCTTCGGTTGGAGGCGGAGGCCAGCGTAGTGGTGAGCAGCTTGCAGGTGTGGTAGAACAGCGCAAATATCCCGAAGCGCAGCAAGAACGATACCTAGGTCGCCGGCGCAAGCGCTGAGCAGGCCTCGGCCCAGAGCGGTGAGTTCCATCTTGAGGCCCTTGATGATGGGGTCGAAGACGAGCGCCCAGAGCGTGCCGCTCAAGGGACATCCTTGAGCAACCACAGATTCTGCAAGAAGCAGCGGTCGGCGAATCCCACCTAGCTCGAGAAAAAGCAAGTGGCATGTTGTAGCAGCTCTGCACGAGATTCAGAAAGACGCCGTGGATGCCCCACCGCCTTAGAGTCGCCCGCAACCACGCATGCGTGAGGCCCGGAAACGCTGCAGCAATATCCATGCTGGCGAAGCAGGGCATCATGTTGGAGGCTTCGCTGTTGATGCTGGTGAGACGGGCGATGGTGTCTACCTTGAATGTTGGAGAGAAATTGACGGCCATTGACAAATCCTTGTTGCTCTTCTTCGGTGTCTGACGCCACGGAGTTGAGATTGCGGTTCGTAGCGGAGGCGATGATCCTGATGCCACTGCTCTTCATGGCGAGGGGGCGTAGACAGTCAGGGCTGCGGGAGCACTCGTAGTTGCCCCTGGGCTCGTCGCCCTTGGGAAGCATGGCCATGATCGCGTAGTTCAGGTCGTGAGGGATCGGGCCGCCGTGAGCAATGGAGTGGAGGAGGGCGTGGAGGGTCTCGATGCTGCCGTCTGATCGTACCAAAGCACGGTAGGGCAGTCCGTCTGGTCCAGGAGCAGAGTCATTGGCGAGTTTAGCTGCGGCTTGGAGTTCATCAATCCCAGGTAGAGGCAGATGGCGTGGAGGCGCTGGTGGGAAGACCAAGTCCAGGTACTGCTGCATCGCAGGGGTGTCAACAGGCTCAGCCGCAAACGCCTTCGACCAGTGAGACTGAATAGCGCTGTGCATGCCCATGCGGTCGTCGGCGACTGTCGGGCCTCTGCTGTCGGTGACGCGAACGCCTGCGAGAATCAAGCGCTTCGAGAACGGCTTCCAGATCTCGCTACGCTGTCCAATACGGCGAGCACGACGACGCCATTGCTCACCAAGGTCGGGCCGTTGTTCCGCGTAGGCAGCTCGCGAGCGGGCGGCAGCAGCACGACGTCGCTGCTCTGCGATCTGGTGCTGCATGGCTGAGTGCTCGGTCTCGAAGGCGGTGCGGTCGACAAGAGAGATCTTGTGGTGACTGACGTCGATGTGTTATGCCCCAGCAATGGTGTCGCTACGAAGCCGCTGGGCAAGAGTGAGGTCTTGGTGCCAGATGGCCCTGGCAATGCTGCGGAGTGTTAGTGCACGTGCTTCTGCTATGTCTTGTGGGTCTTCACTTTGGCTCTCGATCGGCATGATCTCGGAGGCGGAGACGGTGGTGATGGTGTCGCGGGACTTGCGCGCCGCCAGCTTCATTAAGTGCTTCATTGTCCGCCAATTTGAGATGGGGTCGGCAGAGAAGCCGGCCATCTCGACAAGGCGTTTGAAGTAGAACTTGTAGTGCTTGGTTTCGAAGAGGAAGGCAGGGATGCCACGCTCGCTAACTGGGCGTGGCTGACGAGGTCGAAGCCGTAGATGTAAAAGTTTGTGATCGCTGATGGGCTCCCCTTCACGGTCGAGCGGTCTGCCATCGGCGACAAGAAGTGACTCGATGTGCGGGATGTTGGGCGCGTTGATCGAGACGAAGCATCTGTCGATGGTCGCCTCCGTCAGGTTGGCCGCGCATCGATGAGCGGCGGCCTTCGCTGTGATCTCCATCATCTGTGAGGAGATGTTCTTCCAGAAGACAGGCTGGTAGTGGTAACGCTCGGCGGTGGAGTCCGCGGCGGGGTGAAGCAGGCTCTTCGGCGGCGTCTGAGCGATGTTGAAGTCACCGATCATGCAGTAGTCGTGGTTGTCTGGGTGGAGGGCAGAACGTTGAGCAGCTGCTCGCCACGCAGCTCTGAAGCGCTGACGGTCAGATCCGCTGAGGCCGTAGTTGTGGATGTTGAAGATGGTCGTCTCGTGCTGTCTTGCTCCGTCTTGAACGCGTAATTCACCAATGCGACCAGGGGCGATCGCGCGAAATGTACGTAGAGGCCGTTGATCAGGTGGTAGTTGGCGTTCGTCTCGATCGTAGGGTACTAGGAAGGTGGCGCCGCCTGTGGTCTCCGAGGAGTGGCCGTCCGTCACGAGTGCTGAGTGGAAGGCAATGTACTTGTGGTCGGTGCTCGCGGCCAGGAGGTCCATGTCGACGCTGTTGCCGCGTGTCTCTTGGAGGGCGATGACCGCTCGTTGCCACATGTAGCGGAGCAGCAGCTGTCGTTTGAGAGCCCGCCGTGATGCCGATCTGCCGTTGAACACCTGTGTGTTCCACGAGACCAGGTTGAAGCCGCCGGCGTGTGGTTTCGTGAGCCACGGCGACCATCGTGTGCTAAAGCCACCGTGCTGCCTCCAGTGGGTTGGCGAATGCGGCAGCCAGCGCGGTAGCCGAGGGCACGTGCTCGGTGGTAGGGATGCCAGCGGGGGCAGCAGCGTCGGACCAGCGAACTTGGGTGGCTGCATCAGGCGTGGCGCCAGCCGTGATCTGGACGATGGGGGCGCCGTTGATGGACAGAAAGCCGCCAGCGCGGTGGGCCCGAGTCTCGAGCTTGGGGAACTTGTCATTGATGAGCTTGTTGAGCTTTTTGAATTGTACTTCCTGTCGGACCATGCGTGGTGATTTGTCCGCGGAGACGTAGAGGGCAGTGAGGCCAGAGTCCGATTCCACTTGGAAGCGAGGCCATTCCCGTCCTTGTCGAAGTGCGCGATGTGGAGCCTGGGCTCGCGGGAGAGCAATCGAATTGCCGCCAGTGGGTGTGAATGAAATTCTCCGTGCTGGGCTATCCGAGTTGATGCGGAGCGCGTTAATGTCCACGTCGGCGGCGTCGAACCAGGGGGCGAGCGCGGTCTTGAGCGAGGCGACGGAGAACTCTGAGCCAGCTCCACACCAGAATGTGGCAGCATTCGGTGGGCGGTCCCAGGCACCAAGGGCGTCCAAGTCCATGGCTGGGTGGAGAGCTTCAGCATGACGAAGAGCTTGTTGGAGGGCGTCCACGCTGGCCTTGAGATCGCCTTGGGGTCGTTCAGCACGGTCAGCGCGGCCTTTGAGTTCGGCGATGTCCCTCTCGGCGGACTCCTGGCAGGTGCTGAGAGCTGTTCGGTGAGCTTCGTGATGTTTGCCAGGAACTCGGCTTGCGCAGCGGCTGAAACTTGCTTGGAAGTGGCTTCGAAGGCGGCGGCGGCTTTGTCGACCTGGGTCTGGAGGAGATCGGTGAGCGCCTTCCGCTGGTGTGCGGGTAAGTCGATCGCGGCAAGCTTCTGAGCTCCAGCGGCCCAAGGGTCGGCTGCAGCGGTGTCCTTGCCCTTGCCCTTGTCGACGGAGTCGGTGGTGCTGGCGACGCCAGGCACTCCCATCGCGAGACGAGCGGGCACAGGGCCAGCGCTGCTGGCGAGTGATATGTAAGCTGCGTCTCTGCAGCAAAGGATATGGAGATGCTCAACGCCGCGGGCACGGCGAAGGCGGAAAGCAGCGGTCCTAGCAGTCCCGGACCAGGGGTCTCCGTGCTCTGCCACGGGGCACAAACATCTTGAGCCAAAATGGCTACGGAGGAGGAGGAGGAGCAGCAGGAGGAGGAGGAGGAGGAGGAGGAGGAAAAAGTCTGGACCACGACGCCCAAACGATCGTTCCGCCCCACGCGGCCCTCCGCACGCGCCGAACTCGCTCCTCCAGGCGCAGGCCCCCCGCAGCGACCAGGCCCAGGACGCAAGCGCCGAGGGCCAACGTGCTCGGCGTAGCCTCGGCGCGGCCCCCGCCCCCCCCAGCGGAACGCGCTTCCTCCTTCCTCCCCCTCCCCCTCCTCCTCCTCCTCCTTCACCTCCTGCTCCTCCTCCTCCTCCTCCATTCCTTCACCTTCTCCTCCTCCTCCTCCATCCCTTCTCCTCCTCATCCATCCCTTCTCCTCCTCCTCCTCCTGCTCCTCCTCCTCCTCCATCCTTCTCCTCATCATTTACTCTTCCTCCTTCCTCCCCCTCCCCCTCCTCCTCTTTCTTTCCTCCTTCTCCTTCTCCTCCCTTCTCCTCCCTTCTCCTCCCTTCTCCTCCTCCTCCTCCTCCTCCTCCTCCTCCTCCTCCTCCTCCTTCTCCTCCTCCTCCTCCTCCTCCTCCTCCATCCCTTCTCCTCATGAGTAGATCCTCCCTGTCGCAACCCCAGACGTTTCGGGAGGGCGGGCCGGGCGTTTCGCCCGAGACTTGATCATTTATGGGGCGCACAGAGACATAGTAGTCCGCCGGCCCCCTTGCGGGGCCATCAGGCTGCGAGGATTGAGGTTGCTGCTCCCTGCGCCAGTTCCAGTTTCCAGTCCCACCAGCCCTCTGGGCGTCGGTGGTTTAGAGCGTTTCCTCTTCCACCCCTCCTTCTTCCCCTTCGGGGAGGGGTTTACCCCTCCCCCTACCCCCTCCTCACTGACCTGGACAGGGGGGGCCGCGGGTAGTTAGAGCGTCCAAGATGGCCCAACACGGCTCCAAGAGGGCCTCAGGGAGCTCAAGATGACCTCCAAGATGGCTCAAGATAGCGCAAGATGCCTCAAGATTGTCCCCATGATGTTCCAAGACGCTCCAAGAGCTTCCCAAAACGGTTCCAAGTACTCACAAGAGCATCACTGGGATGCCTCCAAGAGGCCAAAATGCTTCAAAACCCTATGGAACATCAATGTGTTTGGTGTTCTCACTTTTTCGCTTGCGATGCACATCCGAGGCGTCAAAATGGCTCTAAGATGGCTCAAGATAGCTCCAAAAGGGGCCCAAGAAAGCCCCAAGACGGCGCCAAGAGCGGCAACGAACGCTCCGAGAACACCCCAAGAGGGGTTCAGGAGGCGATTTTAAAAGCTCTACAAGGGCGACGCTAAAAAATGCTTCCGCTTTCTTTGCCAGATCCCTTCCAACATGGCTCCACCAGCGCCTCTGAGGCCTCCAAGAGCGCTTCAAGAGGCCCCCAGGAGGCCCCCAAGAGACCCCCAAGAGGCCCCAAGAGACCCCCCAGAGGCACCCAAGGTGCTCCCAGAGGCCCCAGAGGCACCCAAGGTGCCCCCAGAGACCCCCCAGAGGCTCCAAAATGGCCCCAAGAGGCCCCAAGAGGCCCCCAGGAGGCCCCAAAGAGGATCCCGAACGGCCCACAGAGGCCCCCCCGAGGCACCCAAGACGCCGAAAAGCCCCTCAGGACGACCCTCTACTCGCCTGGGCGTCGTTTCTGGACGGGCTGGTGGGGATACGCGAAGCGTCTAGAATTTCCAGTGTTACAGTACTGCTGTCTGCTTCCTACTGTAAATTGTTACTGTCCGCGCGAGGGGGCGGGGGCCGAAAAGGGCCCTGGCTAACGTCCCGTGAAAGGGTTATCAGAAGTTCTGGAGGGGCGCGGGACACGTAAAAATCAAATAGTTTCGTGCCCCCAAGCCATAACTCATCGCAAATTACATTGGTTTCGCGCCCCCGAGGCCGCGATCCCTTGTAAATTACACCACAGTCGCGTCTCCGAGGCCACGATCCTTTGTACTGTACTCCACATTTGCGTCTCCGAGGCCACGATCCCTGGTAAATGATTCAACATTCGCGCTCTCGAGGCCACGATCCCTAATAATTTACGCCACATTCGCGCCCCCGAAGCCACGATCCCATGAAATTTACATCAGTTTCGCGCCCCCGAGGCCACGATCCCTCATAAATTACAACGAATTCGAGCCCCTGAGGCCACGATCCCTTGTAAATTACACAGCGGGCGCGCCCCCGAGGCCACGAATCCGCCTTGTGGAGGCTGCCGAAAAAGCGATCCCCCTTTCCAAATCAGAAAAACGAAAATTTTCTGGATTGGGATATGTGCTCCGCTGGTATTCTTTTGCCCCCCCCCCCCCGTCTCTGGAAAATTAGGCGGTGGGTTCCACATTCACCCCCCCCAGGCCACGATCCCTCGTAAGTTACGCCACATTTGCGCCCCCGAGGCCACGATCCCGCGTGAATTACCACACACTCGCGCCCCCGAGGCACCGATCCCTTGTAAATTACGCCGCTGTCGCGCCCCCCAGGCCACGATCCCTCGCACATTACGCCACATTCGCGTCCCCGAGGCCACGATTCCCTGCACATTACACCAAATTCGCGCGCACCCCCCACGCTACGAATCCACCTCGCGGAAGCTGCCCAAAGGCGCCACTCCTTCTCCAGAGCAGAACAAATAACATTCCCAGAGATTGCCTGAAGCAATCCCCAGCCGTTCCCAGAGCGCTTCCAGTGAACAACTGGAGGAAACTGCCAAGAAGGCAACAAAGCGTTCAAAAACAACTTCAACATCTCAATCTGTTTTGCTCATCGCCAGCCGCCCTAGCCTGACGTTCCCGAATGTCATCAAGACGGCGCCCGAAAATCCCAATATAGCTCCGATGTATCCCATTATGATAGAGAGGGGGCCGGCGGCAGGGGGCGAAGCCCTTACGGATACTATATGTCCTCCTTGGAGGCGCGCGTCCGACCCAAACATGTAGTATACCCATCTTGTAGTAGATCGTTGCCCGAGCGATGTGGCCACAAAGCGCCCGCCACGACGCATGTACTATAAGATTTTTCGGTGCGCGCGTCGCCCCTGTGGGGGGGGGGCGACGAACAAATAGTATACGTATGATGGGGTGACGCCGACGCCAGGGCAATGAAACATATTCGACAGCGAAGGAGCTGGAAAAGGATCGGTCGCGACCAAAGCAGCAAACGGGCTAGGGAAGACTCGGCTGGACGAGTCGCATGGGATTCGGGATCGCACCACATGCCACTTGCGCCACCGCGCGGGCAATCGAGGGTGGTGGCGGGTAGCGCCAATCGAGGAGGATCGAAGATCCCAGCTTGTTACTTGCTCACTTGGGGAGCATGCCCGAGGCCTCCTGGGGGTCCTCGCGGAGGGGGCAAGAGCAGGAGCGGGATGATGAAATGGATGGGGAAATCCAAGGATCTCGGAGATCGCTCGGAGAGCGTCCGCAAACGCTCGGGAACGATTCATCCTGCCCCACTACCTGTCCATGTAAGAAGGAACAATCGAGAGAGGTGCCGGCGCCGATCCACAAGATCCCCGCGGACAAAAGGAACTTCGACAGCTTGTATGTTTATGCAGCGATGTATTTTTCTGGGGGGGAAGAAAAAAAACACAAAAAAAGCTATAAAAAAACACACATTTATTTTTCAACCCCCGTTCTCCTCGTTCAGCCTTCAACGATCGGGGCGACTGTCGACTCTGGGCCACTGGCGGCGTTCATTCATGAACGCCCGCGGCGGGGTCGTTGCCGCGTCGGCACGACACAAACCTGCCGTACATGTTGACTTCGAACGCCAAAGCTGGGAATGGGGTTCTCAGCCGAGGTGTGAGGTGTATGGGGGGGACCGGCACAGGAGGGGAAACCCAGATGGCAGAAAGTCCACCCCGATAATAACCACCCCGACACGCGAAGTCGTTTAGCAAACGCGCCAAAAGAAGGAATCGAGCAGGGAAGGGCTCTTTAATAAACGCCCAGGGCCGTTTAGTAAACGCCAATTGTCCGGTCCGGGTGGTTGTTCCTCCCTTGAAAACTTCTACCTGGAAACGGCGATGAATCGTTGATCGATCGGCGATGGACCCCCGACAGCGAGGCAGCATGTTCCTGGGCCGGGAGAGCCATCAGGCTTCGCTCGGCGATGAATGGGCAAGAGGGGATCGATGCATCCTCCCCTGAAGATCAATCTGGGCACCCCCGGACGCCTCTCTTTCAGGCGCAACTGCTGGAGAGCATGCCGAAGCTGTAAAGACACGGAGGGCGTCCGAAAACCTCGAACCTCGAGCGCATCCTGAACCTCCCCCTGATTCACAACCCCGTGAACAGATCCCGCCCTTCACTATTGCTCTTTACTTGTGGGCACCCAGATTGAGCATGGAAAAGATGGGAATGATGCCCAACATCATCAACGGCAACAACAGTAACAACAATCATTCGAATACTGTTCGTTCTCATCCATTCGCGGGCCAGCCAACACATATATCCCAAACCCTCGATACCCGCCCCCATCGCTTTCGATTGTACCCCATCTTGAAATCTTTCTTACCTGCAGCGTGTATTTCGTGCAGCCCCGAAGGCAGGGGAACAAGAGGACGGATAGAAGGAAGGAACAAGGGGGGAGGAGGATGGAGCACGAGAGAGAGCGGCATGAGGGGTGCTCGGAGCAGAAAACACGTGGCACGACCAAACGAGCAGATCGGGCAGGTAGACCCTAGCGGGCGGGCCGGGAAGGCGGGCCCAGGCTGCCACGTCGAGCAGGCGGGGTGCTGAAGCGTGCGTCCGGCATGAATCGCGAAGAAGTCTTGAACGATGGGGCGACTCCCAAATGAATCGTAACAAAAACTAAAACGAGAGGGTGGTTCCGGAGTGTCGAGGGCGCGGCGTCGGAATTCTGACTAAATTGCGAGGACGTCCGCGCGAGATCGCGATTCCTGCATCAATTGTGAGGACGTCTTGCGTGAAAGCACGATTTGGGCATACCTTGTGAAGAAATACCAGGCGGGAACAGCCGTTGTTGTTGTAAACGGGAGCCCAACGACCCACTTTGGTGACACCCCACTTTCCCTTGGAACGAAGAAGCGATGCGGGCCCCGAAACGAGCATTTTGATTGACAAAATACAAAATGGTTGCCGGAGGGGGGCCAACACCAACTACTCTTTACAAATGGATATTGAACAACAGCAATATAAGACTGCTCGTCCTTGTGTGCTCGCGTCCCAATCAACACGTATATCCATGATCCTCGATGCCCGCCCTCTTCGTCTTCAAACGAACCCTTTTGGAGATGTATATTTCTTACCTGCAACGTGTATTCCGTCAGCCCCGAAAGGACGGATGGAAGGGAGGGACGAGGGCAAGGGAGGCGGCGGCGGCGGTGTTCGGCTGATCCACGTGTCTGCAGGTGTGAAGCTCAAGGGAAAACAGCGGCACAGCACAAGGACCACGAGTGCGCCATCGGTAGCGGTGCATTCGCACGGTGGGGGGGGGCCCAATGCGCCTGGCGAGCCCAGCACGGAGATATCCCTGGGGCGAGGCCGCACCCCTAGATCCTGACAAAAAAAGGGCGGCCACGATCCACTCTGTTGAACCGTAGGCGAGCCAACAAAACCTTGAGGTTTCAAAGGGCAGCGAGCTTATACGGAAAAACCAAAACCACTAAACTTGTAGGTTCCCTGGGCGTCGACCTGCGGGATTATTGCTGTCGGCACTCTGGGACCCACGGATGAGTTGGTAAATTGCTGCGTCTAAGGGCGAGGAGGAGGTCTAGCGGGGACGACAAGACGAAGCCTCAGACGACGAGGAAGGGAGAGGAGGAGGAGAGGGGAAGGACGGAGCCTTGCCAGCACGGGACTGCGTCGCCTGCCCCACCCTGCTGGAGTCGCTCACGCCTCCAAGCCGCCCACCGCGAGCTGCAAGAGCCTCGCTTGGTGGGTCTTCGGCGGCGTCCCTGTCACAATCTTCGCTCCTAGCTGCACCAGCGCTGCCAACGCCTCCGCTTGGATCCCCGTCTCTGTTGCTTCGATGGCGATCTTCATCGAGCTCTTGTCGTGCGTGTAGGACACTCGCAGTACTTGACCTGCCGGGCAAGTGTGGAGTTCGTGAGCAGCGGATCTCCCTGGACCCGATCCAAGTATGCCTGGATGGCCGCTGCACTTTGAGCTCCCACTCGATCTCCTTGCTGCTGGAGGGGACCTGCCAGCGCGAGCCACAGATGGGAACGCGGGACCCCCAGCTTCTCCAGCGCCTCCACTGGGTTGCCTGCTCTGATCTCGTCTCTGCGATCTCGCCGCAGGCGGGTGGCCTCTTGTACGAAATACTTCCTTGTCAATTGGATGGCCTGGCTGACTGCGTGGTCCGCTTGGATGAGCACAATCATGAACACTGCACACTCCAGCGCTGCGATGCCCTGCATGCTCCTGAGGGCCGCCCACATCACGACAGGCATCAGAGCTTGGATCATCTCGATGGACATTTGCTGGTTCTGGAGCTGCGTGAAGTCCCACGTAAGGGAGGAAGATGGAGCACGAGAGAGAATAACAGAAGGGGTGCTCGGAGCAGAAAACACGTGGCACGACCAGACGGGCAGATCGGGTTGGTAGACCCTAGCACCTAACAGGTGGGTCGGGAAGGCGGGCTCAGGCGGCCAGGTCGAGCAGGCGGGATGCTGAAGCGTGCGTCCTGCATAGGAAAGCGAGCAAATCTAGAGCGATAGCGCGATTCCCCAACAACTCATGCGAAAATCCATAACGAGAGCGTGATTCCTGAGTGTCGAGGGCGCGGCATCTGAATCCGCCGACCCTGTCGGCGTGTGCAATGGGGTATTCGTCGTGCTCCCGCCCTGGTGCTGTTCGCCATGGTTGTTGTCCCCCTCGCTGCTCCCCTCGCCGTTGTCGTCGCCGTCGCCTTAGGGCCGTCGCCGTCTCCCACCTCAAACCGTCGCTCAGAATACCATCTCCCTCGGGGGGTCCCAGGACCAACGGAAGCCTCTGGACGAGCCAGGAGTGGCCCAAGAGCCCCTCAACATGGTTCAAAAGGCCCCGAACCGCCGAACGATCAGTTCAAGACGTCGAACATAACCTCCACGCGGCCCAAGAGGCCTCCAAGTCGCCCCAAGAGCCTCCAAGACTAACTATTCCCAAAGATCCCGAAAAGGGAAAATTCATTGAATTCCCTATAGTTTTTGAATGACTTTGGCGTTCTCGCCTTTTCGGCTTCACGACGCTAGGAGACAGCCCATGAAGCCTCCAAAAGAGCCCCAGAACTACCCAAGAGGGCCCAAGACAGCCCCGAGAGGCCGCGAAGATGGCCGAAGAGGCCACCAAGACGGCTCCAAGAAGGCTCCCCGACGGGGGACCCCAACGAACATTTCGAGCCCTCGGCCCCGAGAGGCTCCCAAGAGGCCCCAAGACGTTCCCAAGAGGCCCCCAAGAGGCCCCAAGAGGCCCCGAGAGGCCCAGGAAGCTCCAAAAGGCTCCCAAGAGGCTCCCACGAGGCCCCCAAGATGCTCCAAATGTGCCCCCAAACTGCCACCCAGAAGACCCCGAGAGGGCTACTACTACAACTACTGGTACTGCTACTGGTCGTACTACTCCTCCTCCACGCCCACCTCTGCTCGGTGTGCTCCCTCTCCTCTCCGATAGACAACGCCTTTCTTTTTTGTTGTTTCTCTCTCTCTCTCTCTCTGTGAACGCCGTTCCCCTGGTAATGGAACTGAGTGTGATCGGAGCCACACTCGGGCTAGCCACATCTGGATCCGACATTGTAGGAGACACAACAATTACCGATTCAACGCCCCATACAGCGGCAGGCTTACCAATAGGTAACACTAGAAGCGCCAGCAGTCGTGATAGAAAGGGTATGAGACGTGCGGACCCAGAATACGAAGGAAATGCCGGCCCCCTTGCGAGGCCGCCAGGCTGCGAGGCGCGTCCCCTCCCTGTTCCCTAGAACTTGTTACTTGCGCGCGGACGCGGGGACACAGAGGTCCCCCAGTTCTGGACCTTTCCTAGATGGCCTGGCGCACATACATCCGCCGCCGCACCTCTTGCAACTTGAGGCGTAGAAGAATGTCAAGACCTGTCTGCCAGGGTTTCTGTAGTCTTCTGAAGACCCCCCCCCGAGGCAAATCAGGGCTGCTCCTGAAAACTCCTGAGAGCGTCTCATTCCGACCTCCTTCATCATGTCTGCCTCCTTCTTCCCCCATGAAGGTCGTCCTCCACGGTCGGCGGCACCGGCCGTAAGGCCTCAGCCATAAATTGCGAGGAGGTCCCACGCGAGAGCGCGGTTTCTCCATAAGATGCGAGGACGTATCGCGAACAAAAAAACGATGTGGGAAGACATTGTGAGGACAAATCCGGCGGGACCCGTGGTTGTTGTAAACCAGGGGCCAGGGTGCAATTTGGTGACACCTCGTTTCCCGTGTGGAATAAAAAACGGTGCGAGTCCCATGAGAAGCACTTGAATTGAAACATGCAGTGGTTACCAGGGAGGGGGGATCAACAACAATGATTCTCTAGCAATGAGAATTCAACAGCAACATCAAAAGCAAACACAAACAATGACAAAAACAAAACCGACAGCAACAACAGCACCACCACCACCAACAACAACATCAACAACTCTAACCAACAGCACCAACAACAGCAGCAACAACAACAGCAGCAACAACAACAACAACAACAGCATTAGTGCCAACAACAACAGTAACAACACCTCCAACAACACCAACAACAACAACCACAAATGTTGCCCCCTCCTCCTCCTCCTCCTCCACTTCCTCCTCCCCGTTCTCCTGATGGGCTGTTCAGTCCAGTCTGCGGCGGTGCCGACAGTGTCTTTTGGGTTGACCGCGGTGACTCTTCCGAAGCGAGGTCTTGGTAGGAACCACGGTTGTCCTTGCCTACCTGCCTACGCGTCCTTCAGGATGCCAGGCCATTTTGCTTGCCTGCGTCGAACATACAGGTCAATTAAATAACGAATCACGACATAAACATAAAAACTCTGAAATCCGCGCGGATTTCTTGGATCTGCGCTGGAACCCCTAGGGGCGGCGCCGGAGGCGCCGCCAGGGGGCCCCAGCGCCGATCCGAGAAATCCGCACGGACCTCCGAGTTTGTATGTTTATGTCACTGTTCGTTCCCCTATAAGTGGCCCCGAGTGCGGCACCGCCGGCGACGCCGCCACCTGCGCCGTCAGCAGGTCCACCAGCGCGGAGGTCTTCCTGATCGCCGCCTCGCGGAGCGCCACCTCAGGGGCGGCGGCGCGGGGGCGCGAGGGAGGTGCGCGCGGCTCTCACGCTCGGGGGGCTGGTGGAGGCGGCACCAAGGAATCGTTGGGTGACGACGCAGACTCATTGAAAAAACGTCGGGCATGTCACTGGCTGGGAGAAGGAGGAGGAGGAGTAGGAGGTAAGGGAAAAAGAAACTCGACCAAAGAACTTCACGAGACACGGCCTAGACCGCAGTGGGAACTCCAAGCATTGACAAGAACGTCGGGCATGTGGGGGTACCGCGGCCAATGGGGACCAGTCGGGCGGCAAGCCAGCCAGCCCGTATCTTTGACCTTCTGCGCACGCCTGGGGAATTGTTGACACGCAGGGGTTCACCCGCAAGCATGCCGTGCGCTACCACTCACTAATTGAAGGCAGGCGGCCGATGGCAGTTCATAGCCCTTCACTTGCCCTACGAGCGTCACGAGGAGACAGCAGCACGAGGACGGGCCCATGTACTGATCTGTGCAAAGCAAAGCAAAAAACAAGAAGTCGTACACCCTGAGGTGCGTAGGACACTGGCGTGGAAAAAATGGGACTATACAGGTCGGACTAAACTACAGTTGCAATTGTGCCGTTCGAACAAGTTGTTGCCAAGCTCCTTCATTAGTCAGAAGTGGGATCAAATCTAAAACCGACATGCACGTCGGGTCCAGCATCCGATGTCCGTTAATGCGGCGGCGCAGGCCAGAGCCAAACCTCCCACAACCACGATGACGCCGAGATCGGGGGGGAAACGCCATCAGCGGCACACCGCCGTCGGGAGCCCGTGAGCGTCTTGCTCCCTCGCTTCTGCCTGATACCCTGGTGCTTCTTCATTTCATAGCGCGCCCATGGGTTGCCCACGACGGCGTGTCGTTGACACTGCTCTTGCCCCCCAACCAATAAGTTAGGGGAACGAACAATGACATAAACGTAAAAACTCTGAGGTCCGCGCGGACTTCTCGGGTCGGCGCTGGACCCCCCCGCCCTGGCGCGCGGAGCGCGCCAGGGGCGGCGCGCGAAGCTCCGCCAGGGGGGCCCCATCGCCGATCCGAGAAATCCGCGCGGACCTCCGAGGTTTTATGTTTATGCCATTCTTCGTTCCCCTATAATGCGGGATGACGATTAATAAAACAAATGGGGGGAACGATTAAAAACAGAGTTTTCTGCTATTACTGCACAAATTTCTGACTGGAGGAGAACGATTACAAAAAAAAGTTTTCCATCCCGCGGTCGGTTTTTTCTAATCGTCATCCCGGGCGCCACCGCGTGAACACGACCCCCGGTCATTTATAAATCGTCATCCTCCATTAAGTCAGGGACGGCCTTCCAGACTAAGGGAACCAACGTCGGGCGGTATTCCACATCGGGCCGGAACCAAAGACCTGCGGATGCAGATGAGGGGAATGGAAGGATACCGATGCCGCTATTCCCAATACCTCTATTTCCTGGGGCACGTTCTGGCCAGGAGTTTGACGAGGGCTCCTCGAGAAGCCCGGACATGCGGAAACGGGGGAAGCGGAGGAAGAAATCGGCGTCGGTATCTTTAATTCCACATCAAGACATCCGATCCGGAAAATCAACCTCCCCAGATCGTGGAATTGCCTCCTATACCAAACAGTGAATGTTCCGGCATGGCACTCGAACATATACAGATCTACAGTACTTATATATATATATATGTATATATGTATATATATATATACATATGTAAATCTGAGTTCGAATTCTTAGATGCTCGTTCTGGGGACTCGCTCCACTCATTCGTCGATGCTGCGTCGAACGTCCGTCGACTTGAATCGAACTTGAATTGATCTGGGTCGACTAGAGTCGAACAAATCCGCTATGTGGGCCCCAGGAAGGTCCCAGACACAAGCATCCGGTATAACTATGCGCCCGAGTTCAATCCAATATCCAGGAGCTGGAAAGGCAGACCCCTCGGACTGGATGTCTTTGAGTACCGTTTAACCCATCCCCATCCCCATCCCCGGCGGCGTGGCCTGGGCCCCACTGGCCGATTTACCTCCCTAGATGGGGATATAGGCCGTTCCCTGCAGGTTTCGAGGGGTGTATGCCCAACTGGGGGGGTAATTTGGGGGGGGGCCTCGAAGGGGATGGGGATGGGAATGGGGATCGGTTGAGCGATACTGAGTCCTGCCAGAGCTCGAACCTTGCCCCAGCTCCTCCCCCGGGAGAGCCGCCCGCCGCCGCACTGCGGCCGCCCGCGAACGCCACGGGCAACGACCGTATGAAAGGGGCCCTGGGACACACAAATAAAGATACATTAATAACAGGATTCCCCATAACATACATATACACAAATAACAATATACACACATAACACATATACAAAAATATACACAAATATACATACATATGTTCTGGGTATTCGTCTTCCCCCCACTTCCATTTTCCCGCATTTCCCGGGGGGATCGACGATTCATTGTGTCTGTGTTGTTTCCCCCTCCTGAACGTATTGGGATGCACGCCCTGGCGGTCTGGGCTCCCGGGGAGCGATCCCGTGAACACGCTGTCGCACGGACACGCTCCGCGCGGAGCATCCGCAAACAAACACCGCCCTGCATCCATCGGGCCGCGGCCCAGGGTCCCGGCCCTCGAGGCCGTGGGCATGGATCTGTTTCATTCGGGGGTTCCCGACGGTGACGGACCGTGCGGTGGCCTCGGAGTCCCCACAACCCTCCCCGAGCGGTCCGTCACCGCACGGAGCTGGGACCCTGGAGTCCCCAGTCGCCCGAGACGTCCTCAGAAACGGCCCAAGTCACAAGGCCCCGTTCGGGACGACCCGGGCAACCCCGGAACGCTCTCGGCGAGGAGCCGCTGCTGCAACGCGTTCCGAGGCAAACGACCTCACGAAACGCCCGAGCACCCACCATCCCCGCTGCGGTCAGTGCTCCCCGTTCGGGGATCTTCTGACCCGGGTCAATCCAGACCCGGGTCAGCAAGAAACCAGAAAACTGCAATGCAGGACAACAAAAAAGCAACGCAGGGCTTCGCAAACCTGGGTCGGCCACTATGCGCGGCCGCTTCGCGGCCACGAGCGGCTCGCTCACCCGGGTCAGCCAGAGGGGGTCGTCGCAGGATCCTGCAGCGTCCGGTGTGCCGCTCGCGCACCACCCTTTGAAACGCTGCCGGGGCTGGCACGGCTGATCCATGCTTCCCCCTCGTTCTCCCTCCCCCCTCTCTCCCTTTCTTTCCCTCCCCTCTCCCTCCTCTTTCTTCCTCTCGTTCTCTCCCGTGTTCTTCCTACACTTTGAAGGGACGTGCCCTGGCCAGCCCCCGTTTGCACTGACCCCCAATCTCAGCACTCCCGACCCGCCCACGAGAGAGCGGCGCCGGGGGAGCGGGCGGCCTGGTCGGGGCCGGACCCGAGCGCCGCCTCCCAGCGCCACGCGGAGCCGCTCGGCGCCCAGGGGGCGGCCTCTCCTGGGGCGGGGCCGGCGCGCGCGCGGCTCGCGGCGCCCGGTGGCGGCGCCCCGCCCGGCGCGGCGGGCGGAGCGCTCGCGTGAGGGCCAGCGCCAGGGGGAGAGGCGGGCTCAGGGGGGGGAGGAGGGAGGAGGGAGGAGGGAGGAGGAGGGGGGGAGGGGGGAGGGGGGAGGGGGGAGGGGGGAGGGGGGGGGGGAGCAGCGAGCTCGAGTTGGCGACGCATGGCCGACGGAGCGGCGATGGGCCCCCGATCGGCTGTCGGGCCCCTATCGGCGATGGCTGGGCGATTAGGGCTCCCATCGCATTTAAAGACCACATCCCAAAAATAACTTCGAGCACCCGGAAAAGTGTCGGAAGAGTGTCGAAAGAGTGTCGAAACAGTGTCGGACGAAGGTCTCCCAGGGCCGGACACGCGAAAACCCTCGAATTGCAGTACTTGTTGTTTCGTGCTCGAAATTATGTCTGGTGATCAAGGCTAGGATGGTAAGGCGGGTCAGATCGTCATATCTGACCGAACCTAGCTGATAAGTGGGTTACATGATTCTTGAGTGGGCTTGGGGGGTGAGGATCCAGGCGGAGGAGCTCCGCCCACTTGGCGCGGTACTCTAACCCCCCACAGGCCACTCAGGGCACATGTAGATCACTTTAAGCCAGGTTAGGCAAGATATAGCCCACCTTGTCACCCGCTGATAACTCCCTATCCCTTCAGGACCCCCCGCACTGATCCAAGATCCGAACCAATTCCTGGAGACCGGCTTTTAATCCCGAGCAATTTTTGGTCTCTCGCAGGGTCCGGTGAATGCCAACAGAGGCCCAACGTGGCTCGAAAGCCTGCGTCGAAAGTCTGCTCACGACGCGACGACGTCTGCCTTTCGGTGGTAACTCGGCCCTCGAGCGGCCATCTGGGACGATTCGGGTCTCCCCGGGATGCCCTCGGCGAGGCGCAGCTGCTGAAAAGCCTCACAAGGTGAGAAGATCTGAAGGAAGCGGCGAAAACGCGGAGATCGGCGATCGTCTCGGTGTGGAGCCCGACTTTCTCACGTCGCCAATGCATCGCCGATATATCGTGGAGGCATCGGCGATGCGGCGTTTCCGCCGACCCCATCTGCTCAGACCCTACTTGCGAAGCCTGGACACGAGCCGCGCGTGGCCAGGGGACCCAGGGGGGGGTAACGCCAGGGGGGGAGCCTGCTCCAGGAGGGGGGAGCATCGACCTAGATTCGACGATGCATCGCCAGCTGCTCCGCGGTGGATCCCCGCTGGCGACTCCTCATCCTCCTCCTCCTCCTCCTCCTCCTGCTCCTCCTCCTCCTCCTCCTTGTCCTGCTTTTCCTCCTCCTTTCTCTCCTCCTCCTCCTCCTCCTCCTCCTCCTCCTTTTCCTCCTCCTCCCCGCTGGCGACCCCGAGCGTACCTCCGCGGTGTGGGCTGCCGGACCCCTGTCGGAGACGACTGGGCGATCGGGGGTCGACGCGTCCCCCCTCCCTGAGCCGAGCCCCCCCGCAGTCCTCGCCGTCTGGCTTTCGGTCAAGCCTCAGCTCTGGCGGCCGCTCGAGACGACCCTGACACCCCGGGGACGCCCCTCGGCGAGGCGCAGCTGCTGAAAAGCGCCCCGAGACAGGAGAACCCCCCCCCGAAAAAGCGAGAACGCCCGGGAGCGTCCGAAAACGTCGGAATCCCCCCCGGGGCCGATCGACCCCTCACCCTGCTCCTGGCAACGGGGGCTGGCGCCAAGCAGGTGGTCGGGCGTCCGCCTGGTGTTGGGCGTTGCGTAATGGGGGGCGATAAGTGGGGGGTGAGGAAAGTACCTTTCGTGCCGTATAGGGTCCTGAAGGAGCCCAAAAGTTGCACGTCTCTCACCACCCATCTATCGCCCCCCGCCATTAAGGAACGCTCAACGGTGGCAAGGCGCGCATCCGACGGGAGCGCGCAAGGGGGATCCATGGAGGGGAGAGAGCGCGCCCACAGCGCCGACGCAAAGGGGGGGTCCCCCCTTAGCTACCCCCCCTCCCTTCCACCTCCCTTGCTGGAAGCCCCCCCCCCCTCCCCCTTTTTCACGTCCCTCCTTAAGCTACCCCCCCCCTCCACCACTTTCGCCGCTCCGAAGCTACCCCCCTTTCCAAAGGGAGGGGGGAGCTTAGCTACCCCACCCCTCCCCATTTTCTCTTGACCCCCCTCTGCTAAAAACTACCCCACCCCCCCTTTGGTTCCAAAGGGGGGGGGGGCTTAGCAGCCCCCCCACCCCCTCCATTTCGGCACCTCCGGAAGCTACCTTCCCCCCCCTTGGTTCCAAAGGGGGGGGGGCTTAGCAGCCCCCCCCCCCCCCCCCCCCGCTAAGCCCCCCCCCCCCCTTTCGGCACCCGGGAAGCTACCCCCCCCTCCCCCCTTACGCAAAGGGGGGGGAACTTAGCTCTTAGCTACCCCCTCCTCCCCTTGATCATCCTCTGCCGGAAGCTCCCCCTCTCCCTCCCCCCCTTTGGTTCCAAAGATGGGGAGGCTTAGCAGTGCCCCCCCCTTTCGGCGCTTGGGAAGCTTCCCCCCCTCCCTCCCTTACTCAAAGAATGGGCGATGCTTAGCTACCCCCCCTCCCCTTCACCCCCCTCTGCCGGAAGCTCCCCCCGCCCCCCCCCCCCATCCCCCCTTTACTTCCAAAGGGGAGGGGGACCTTAATCGCCACCCCCCTTCCCCCCCTTTCGGCATCCGGGAAGCCACCCCCCTCTCCCCTTCCTTACGAAAAAAAGAGGGGAGCTTAGCTACCCCTCCGCTCCCCTTGACCCTCCTTTGCCGGAAACCCTCCCCCCCCCTCTTTACTAACAAAAAGAAAAGGCGAACTTAGCAGCCACCTTCTCCGCTTTCATTCGGCACCTCCCCCCTCCCCCAGCTCACAAAAAAGGCGGAGCATAGCAACATCCCTCCCTCCCTTGACCTTCCTCTGGCGGAAGCACCCTCCTCCTCATTGTTTCCCCTTCCCCTGCAGGGAGCTATCCCTCCCCCCGTTCGCAAAAGGAAAGGAGCTCAGCTACCCCCCCCCTCGCACTCCCCCTGCCAGAAGATCCGCCCCCGTAGTTTGAAGCTGGGGCCCCCCTTTCCTCATTCCCGGCGCTGCGGGCGCGCTCTTTCATAGAGGGGTGGTGCACGCACCGTCTGAACGGAGCGAGGCGATCCCTGGGAGGGAGGAGTCCTTGTCCTCCGATGCGACGGGCATTCACTTACCCTCCCATTCTCGCTGTCGTCGGCTGCCCCGCCCCACGGGTTCCTCCTCTGGCTCGCACGTCTTCTTTGCCGAGTCACTCAAAACTCCTGTCTCTGTTACAACTGCCTCGACAACCGCCACATAATACACCTCGCACTTACATATCGAAGCGTGAAAGACGATTCGCGAGTATGGCTTGAAAAAACCATGCGTCGCTTCACTTCCCAACCAGAGCTCGGGCATGAACTGGACATCATCAATCATGCCTCACCTTGCCCGCTGCCACCATTCCACGACGGGCTCGAGGCCTGGGCGCCTTGGCGGCAAGAGGGGGCGGGGGGTCCTTCATCGGGCGACTCGTCCGTTGTGGAGCCGCTCGAGCGGCTCGCGCAGTCCAGGAGCCCTGGCGCCCCCCCCTTTTCGCCCGACGTGGCTCGCCTTGTGGACGCCACGACAATGGGCACCCTAACAGTCCTATCTTTGAACTTAAAATGTGATTAAAATGTCGGAAACATGTCCGAAACGTGTTTAAAACATTTTTACATGTTAAAACATATTGAACACATGTTTTGGACATCTGGAGATTATATGGCAACATGCTTCCTCTCCATTGATCGTCCTCCACAAGGCTCGCCCTCTTGGCAGCTGCAAGGCGTGCCGACCTCGCGCCCCAGGCCCGAGGACTCCCCAAGCGACGGCCTTCGCCCGCCCACTCGCCGTTCGTTCGCCCCCTGCTCCACGGGGCCCGTTGCCATATCACGGGATCCCCCAAAAGGACGTGCGCTCCAAGCCACGTGCGTGAATACGCCCCCCCACCAGTGCGCGAGGCCAAGCTCGTGAAACAAACGTTCGCGCAATGCGCACTTTCGAAGCAAGCGCGGAACCGTGTCCATGTGCGTCCTTCTTTCGCTCCTGACTGCCCTTGGGGCAACCTGCCCCTCCGGCTACGACCGTCTGATCTTCTCCTTCGTCGCCCTCCACCTCCTTGGGGCGGTCCTCTGCTCCAGGCAGCGGCTTGGACCGCCGGCAAATTGAGGGGCAACGCCAGGGTGGGAGCGGCTCAGCGCGGGAGGCATGGCTGGGTAGTCGAAGCCAATCTGGCGCCAATCTGGCAGGCCCAATCTGGCAAACGGGGGCAATCTGGCGAGGGAGCCAACGCGAATCCAGTCTGGCGAATAACCCAAATCATCCAGTTTGGCCGGGCCAGATTGGCCCTTGGGGCCCAATCCAATCTGACAGTCTGGCCTTCGACTACCCAGCATGGGGCCTAAGGGCTGGAATCGGGGATACATCGCAGGTAGATCGGCCGGGTAGGCAGTCGGGCCCCGTGTCGGCGATCGATGGGCGACTCAGGGTCGCTGCATCCCCCATCAGCTCGGGGGCGGCCAAGAGGGGGGCGTCAAAGAGGGGAGGGCGCGAATCATGGCCAGCGGCATGTGCGCGGCCCAGGGAGGGGGGGGCAGGGACGTAATGAAGTAAGAAGAGGCGCCATGAAATCGGCGGAAACATCATGGCCCACGCCATGATATCCACCTCCCCTCATAAGGAGGGGACAACAAGCAGTAGGAAACTTGAACATCATCTTTTGTTGCGCCCTCCTCGTCCAGGCCGCGGCTTTGCCTGGAGTGGGATGAAGATGTTACGGCCCCGAGGTGGATAACAGGGCGATCAGCTGAGACTCCGCTGATCGCCTCGGGCGGGTGGACTGCTTCCTTCTCGACCTCCCATTCCGCTTCCTCCTCCTCCTCCTCCTCCTCCTCCTCCTCCGCATGCTCTCCCCGGTGTGGGACTGCCTCGGTGCCCCGAGGGGGGCCCGCCAGTGGGCACGGGGGCCCTCCGATAAGCGGAGCCAGAGCTGCCCCGCAGGAGGGGCTCGAACCCCCTGGATCTCGCGCACACCCACCGGCCAGTGCTACGAGACCGATGTTGCATCACAGCAGCAATTCGGCCTCTGACTTTCGTCCTGGGCTCGGTTTAGTGAAGTGGTGAATTTCGGGGTCCTTACGTGGGAAAAAACATCACTTCACTAATCTGGGGCCCCTGGGGCCTCAGTGGGCCCTGGGGCCCCGAATTAGTGACGTGATGGTTTTCGGGCTTCGGAAATGCCGCGTTCACTTCGCACCCCTCGACGCTGGCCCCACGCGGATGCTTCTGGAGCGAGCGCCGTGGCTGGCATCTACCTGCTGCGCTGGCATGGTCGTTTCCAGGCAGCTGCGTGCACGTTCCGTGAAGAGGTCTGGGGGGGGGGGTCTGTCGCTGGCTCCGGCACCGGTCACATGCTGGCCTCCCGTATGGTTTTGCCAGTGGCTTCCCGAGGAGTTCTCCCCGCAAGCCATCATTTGTAATGCTTACTCTTTTTTTTTGGGGGGGGGGGCAGAGCCCCTCCAACGACGCATCAGTCAGCGAAAACGGCCCCGGGCCATTCCCAGCGAGCCCCCCCCCCCCAGCGTTGCCCCCCCCCCCCCTGGCTGTCGGGTCATGACTCGGCCATCCCGCGGGCGCGGCCGTTCGGGAGGATCTGGGCACCCCCAGAACGCTGTCGGCGAGGCGCCGAACGTTCCCCCCTCGGCTACTTGCAAGAGTGGCACTGACCTATGGTGCGCGGAGTAAGGGGGCGGAACGTGGCCAAATCCAAGCGCGCAAGCAGCCGCTATCGCACCGCGCTCAGCTATCGGAGGGGTCCCGATGAGCCCGCGCCACAGGTCACTCCTGCCCAAGGGCAACTCTTGTTGTCGACCCCACCTGAACCAGCCCTCCCGCCCAGTCCCCCTGTCGGGAATCTTCTGACCCGGGTCAATCATAACCCGGGTCAGTCAGGCCTTGCAGAATCCTGCAAGATCCTGCACTCAAGCCCGAGTCAATGCGAAGGATCCTGCAAAATCCTCCAGGATCCTGCGCCCAAGCCCGGGTCAGTGCGACCCCGGCCCTGCAGGATCCTGCAAGGTCGGGCGCTCTGGCTGAATCCCGCCCAGTCCCCCTGTGCAGGGGCCCGAACCACTCCCAAGAACTTGGTGCCCCAGGAGGGCGGGTGGGTTGCTTAAAAGTCTGCGGCGGCCGCCTGCCACCGCGGGGCCGGCCCCGCGAGAGCGGGAACACGCGCGGGCGAGGCGCAAGTGCAGGAGGGGGAGGGGGAGGCAAGAGGAGGCGAGGGCGCAACTCTGCAACTCTGCGCCCTCCCGTGCCCCCTGCGCCGGGCTCTTTGCACCCTGGAGCCTCCGGGGCTCCGCGAGCTCAAGGGTCGAATCCTCCCCTTGCGTTATAAAAGGATGTTGTGTTGTGGGAGGCGGAGCGCATCGTTTGCTCGCTGTTGTTATCGGCATGGTATACCCGCTATGTTGTTTCTTCGGCGTTGCCTCCCACTCATCTGTCTCTCTTTCTTTCCGCCGCCGTCCGCCAAAACTTCAGCCTAAGCAGAGCCTAAGCCTCAGCCTAGCCCAGCTTCAGCTCCAGCCGAAGTTTAGCCCAAGCCTAGCATAAACTTCAGATTCAGCCTCTGTCTAGGACAGCCTCTGCTTCTTCAGCCTGGCCTAAGCCTGGCCTGAGCCTAAGCTTCCGCCTCAGCCTAGCCTAAGCTTTAGTTTAAGCGTTGCCCAAGCCTGGCCCAAACCTCAGCCTAACAGCCCCCGCCTAGCCTGAGCCTCAGCCTAAGCCAGGCAAGCCTAAGCTTCAGCCTAGCCTAAGCCTGACCCAAACCTCAGCCTAAGCGTAAGCCTCAGTCTAGCCTACACCTCAGCCTGAGCCTAGCCTGAGCCTCGTCCAAACCTCAGCCTAAGCTTCGGCGGAAGCCTCAGCCTAAGCCAATCCCAAGGCTAGCCGAAGCCTCAGCCTAGCTTCAGCCTAAAATGAGCCCCAGCCTCAGCCTGAACCTCGGCCTGAGCCTGACCTCAGCCGATGCCTAGCCGGAGCCTCATACCTTCAATTGCTATTGCAATTCTAGGGTGTTACTACTACCTCATTGCTGCAACAGATCTACGATCACAAAATTAGGGTCCGACTACTCCTGCAACGCAATTGCTAGAGTGATGCTACAATAATAAAGTGTTTCAAGACCGTGTTATTCCCACAACCACCACTACGTTGTTACCACTACTACTGTACCAGATTACTAAGTACTACGACTTCAGTAAGCTGCTAGTGCTACAATACTACTACGGCACTACGCTGCTAGGGCACGGCGGCCGTGCTTGAGTACTCCGATGTTAGAGCTCCATTACGACTACTGCCAGCACTAGAGCAACTAGAGCAATACCAGCACAGTACTAAAGTACCACTTCTGCTGTACTGCTGCTGCAGTGCTGCATCACGATTATTACAGCGTCTACTCCTACTGTTACAGCGTCACCACTACATCACTACATTATGAGACTACTACAGCAAGTTTGCTATGCTGCGGCAGTGGGGCATTCTTAATACAGTATTGCAGGCAACCGTAGAGTACTACTCTCACGAATCATGTATTAGAGCACTGTTCCTACAGTACCACTACTACACTAGTACACCACTGTCCCACAACAGTACGAAACAATTCCTACAGCGCTACTACTGCCAGTTCGATGGCAGATCCGAGTACGACAGCAGTGGGTTACTTCGGCGACAGCACTACAGCGCGATTACTAAACCCAGTACTAGGGTATGATCTTTACTGCCAGACCTGACTACAACAACAAATACTACTAGTACTACTACTACTACTACTACTACTACTACTACTACTACTACTACTACTAGTACTGTTACTACTACTACTACTACTACTACTACTGCTGCTGCTGCTACTACTACTACTACTACTACTACTACTACTACTACTACCACTACCACTACCACTACCACTACCACTACCACTACTACTACTACTACTACTACTACTACTACTACTACTACTACTACCACTAGTACTACTACTACTACTACTACTTCTTCTACTACTTCTACTTCTACACTACTACTACTACTACACTACTACTACTACTACTACGACGACGACGACGACGACGACGACGACGACGACGACGACGACGACGACTACTACTACTACTACTACTACTATTATTACTAGAAGTACTACTACTAATGCGATTTCTACCCCTACTACTACTACTACTACTACTACTACTACTACTACTACTACAACTACGACTACTACTACTGCTACTACTACTACTACTACTACTGCTACTACTACTACTACTACTACTACTACTACCACTACTACTACTACTACTACTACTACTACTACTACGACTACTACTACTACTACTACTACTACTACTACTATTACTACTACTACTACTGCTACTACTACTACTACTGCTGCTGCTGCTGCTGCTGCTGCTGCTACTACGATTGGATGGCTACTGCGCTGCCGCTTCACTGGTACAATACTATTACTGGCTGGGCACGGTATTCGAGTACCACTAATACAGTCCTAGGTCAGCACTGCTGGAGCGCGACTGCTACAGTGCTGTGCTACGACTATTGCAGCGCCACCACCACAGCACTACAGTGCCTGACTACTACAATAGTGCGGGGTGCGACATTGGAGTATTCCTGCTACAGTACTGTAGTACCTTCACTGCAGGCAACAGCAGATTACCATTCTAACGAGCACTGTACTAGAGTAGTATTCTACAGTGCCACTACTACAGCAGCACAGCACTACTCCACACTGAAATGCCAATACAATACAATCATTGCGATTGCACTACGATGCGATTGCAATGCAGAGCAATGCCAGGGCAATGCAATGCGGTTGCAATGCAAATGGCATTGCAATGCGTTTGCAATGCAATTCAATGCGATGCGATTGCAATGCGCTGCGATTGCTTTGCCATGGAATGCGTTCTTTTTGCCATCCTCCTCCCTCCTCCTCCGTTTTCTCCCAAGGCACAGGGGGGAGGAGGGGAGGGGGGCACGAGGAGAGGGGGGGGAGAAGGTGGGTGGTAGGACAGGGCCCCTCCCTTCCCTCCCCGTTGCTGCTGGCGCCTGGGGGGGGGGCGGATTTTTATGTTTTTGGGGGGGGCGCCCCCCCCCCCCCCCACCTCCAAGGCGCCAGCAGCAAGGGAAGGCCGGGAGGACCCCGCCCCCTCCCAGGGCCCCTCCCTTCCCTCCCTGTTGCTGCTGGCGCCTGGGGGGCGCGGATTTTAGTTTTTTTTTGTTGGCGCCCCCCCCACCTCCAAGGCGCCAGCAGCAAGGGAAGGCCGGGAGGACCCCCCCCTCCCGCCCCACGTGGTCACGAACCAAAGGCAGCGAGGTTCGCAAATTGAGCACCTCACCACGCGGCCAGCTCAGCTTCGCAAAGCGAGGTAGGTAAACCGAACAAAATCACTGCGGAAAAAAGAAAACAGGGCAAAGGAAACAAGCATGAGTTTCGCAGGGGGGGGGATTCGACCCTGGAACCCCAGGCTCCGCGACCCTCCAGGGCCGCGGAGCCCGAGGGACGACGTCGAGCGGCGGCGGGGAGCACGGCGACGACAAACAGCAGCCCCTTCCCAGACCGACCTCAGGAGTCTCGATGCTGTAGACTAGCGCTCCTGATCATTTTCTGTCAGATGGTGCATCTGAGCTCCGCAGCTTGCCCACAGCTCGAGTTAAGTAGAGAAAACCAACATCGTCTCTCAAAAAGTTGCAGGGTGCGCATATTTTGTTCGGTCGCATCCCCCTGTCCTCGTGCACCTGAGGTGCACGAGGAAAGGGGGATGCGACAAAATGGGTACAATGCCCAACAACAAATGTTGTCCCAAACCAACAGCGGCCGCTGTTGGGCAGGCGGCCTTCTGTATCAAATGGACACAGGCCGCGGCGGTGCCGACAGCGAGTCCTGTTCAAAACGAATAGGCCATGCTGCTGGGCATTGTACCCATCCTTTCCGTACCCGCGTCGTTCGTGCAGAACCTCTCTCTCCGCGCGCCGCTTGACGCACCGCAGGGTTGAAGCCTCGGAGGCGCGCCGACGAACACAGCAAGGGCCCAGGGCGGCCCTCGTGCCCGCCCCGCTCGGACCACTCAGCGCCACGCTGAGGAGGCCCCGGCGGGGCCGTACCCTGAGGCCGAACACGCCCTGCCCAGCCTCCCCCTGCGGGGGATTCCTGCTTGTTTTATGTCTTGTGTTGTTTCTCGCTCTCTCTTTCTCTCTCTCTCTCTCTCCTTCTCTCTCTCTCTCTCTCCTTCTCTCTCTCTCTCTCTCTCTTCCTCTCTCTCTCTCTCTCTGTGATTCTTCACCCCGCCCCCGTCTGTCTCTCTCCCGCCCTGGCGCCATCCAGCGCTGCTCCGTCTCGCGGCCCGTCTGCTGTCCATCCATCCGGTCCAATTTGAAATACTCTCGGCGGCTCTCGCTCTCTCTCTCACTCTCTCTTTATGTCTTTCTTTATGTTTTTCTTCCTCTCTCTCTCTCTTCCGTTCTTTACTTATCCTCCTCTCTCTCTCTCTCTCTCTCTCTCTCTCTTCCTTCCTTTATTTCTTTATTCCTCTCTCTCTGTCTCGCTCTCTCGCTCTCTCTCTCTCTCTCTCTCTCCCGTGTACCATCCAATTACTCGGTCAGGCAGCCCTCGTTCGCCCTGCTTCGTGACAAGTGCCCTCGCGCTGCGGATCCGCCCCGCACCCCCCAGCCTTCCCAGCAGACCGCAGCTGGAGGAGGAGGAGGAGGAGGAGGAGGAGGAGGAACGAGGAGGAGGAGGAGCCCCCCGACCTTCCCAGCAGACCGCAGCTGGAAGCCTCACGCCGTGAGCATCGAAAAACAACAAATCTGACGGCAACAGCACAGGCACTCGACACGCTGCTCCCCTCCAACCTCGGGGCGCTAGCGGCCTCGTGGGCCAAGAGCTGCGCTTATGCGTCTCCTCCTCCTCCTCCTTCCCCCTCCCCCTCCCCCTCCCACCCCCCCCCTCCTCCTCCTCCTCCTCCTCCTCCTCCTCCTCCTCCTCCTCCTCCTCCTCCTCCTCCGCATCCTCATCCTCGTGCTCGGGTGTCTCCGCCCACCGATGCTGCGATTCCCTCCCACGGGCCTCCTGAGAACGCAGTGGATCCGCTCCAGAACTGGGAGAACTCCTGCTGGAAGAAAACGCCGCGCATGGCAGACAAGCTGATGGCAATCATTGGCCTCTCTTATTCCATCGCCTCCTTCTGCAATGACTGGGCGCATCACTTGCACGACGTGGGCTTATGCACAAAGTCACGTAAAAACAAACCTGCTGCCGATGCGAAGCCCAAACTGGACGCGCGACCGCAGCCGCACGGCACGAGAAATGGAGCGGGCTCACGCCCCGCAGCTCCTCGACCGACTCGGTGTCCTCAGACGAGGTATCCTTGGGCATCAGCTTGAGCTTCGCGTCCACCGCAGGCGCTGCGGCGCTCTCGCTCTCCTCGTCGGCCTCCCGCTCGAGGCTGCATCGGAAGCGGGAGGGAGCGAGGGAGCGGCGACGGACAAGCGCAGCACGGAGCCCGAGGAGGACACTGCAGAGCCCGCGCCCCTGCTGGAGCGCCGCGGGCTCCCAGAGAATGCAGCGCAGGCACTCCCACAACCAGCCTCGAGCTTATCACCATCCCTGAGATTGACAAGCCGCACAGGCGATGACACTATTGGGATGAAACCTCAGAAGCTGCGAGAACCCTTAAGATCGGCATCGAGATACGGCAACGCCAATCGTAGGAACAGGGACATGTTTCCAGCGAGTACTCCCAAACAGAGCTCGATACTGCACCCAGCTCGGGGATCTTCTGACCCGGGTCAATCCAGACCCGGGTCAGCAGGAAACCAAAAACTGCATTGCAAGAACAAAAAAACTGCAACGCAAAGCTTCGCAAACCCGGGTCAGCCAATACGCGCGGCCGCCTCGCGGCCACGAGCGGCTCACTAACCCGGGTCAGCCAGAGGGGGTCTTCGCAGGATCCTGCAGGATCTGGCGCTCTGGCTGACCCCCGTTTGCATTGACCCCCGTCTCGAGGCTTCCGACCAGCCTTTTGGAAGCAGTCCCCGGCCAGCCTCCACGGGCTCCCCAGAGACCCCACAACGTGATTGCATTCAGTGCGCGCGGCGCGGCCCGGGAGATCTCGACCCCTTCCCTGGAGGGCACTGTTTCGTCCCGAGTCCATGCTTGGTACCCCCGATGGAGGGCCCCGGAGACCAGACTCGATGAACAACGCCTACACGTCGTTCACTTCTAATCGTGCTCATTTCTCATTGTGCTCGTTTCTAATTGTTCCTGGCCCTCCAGTGGCCAGGAAGAGGCCCAGGATAGAACAATTACAAATGAAAGGATCTTGCCCCCCAAAACATCAAAGAACTTTCGAATACTTAGAAATGAACAATGTGTATATTGAACATGATCATTTCGCCGGAGATGTGGGCCTCAGGGTGTTTCTGCTCTTCCCCCACGCAGGCAGGCCCATGAGCAGCAAACTCGTCGAGGATGATGCGTCGCCGAAAAGCGCTGACCATGTGCAACGACCTGGCTGAGCTTCCTAGCGGTTGCCAAGGACGAGGCGCTGCAGAACTGACTACCTACCAGACCACACCAACCCAACCCGAAGACCCGAATTTTACCAGAATTTCGGGGGGTGGGTACGGGTTCCATGCGTTGTTTTCAATGCTCCACGACGCCCCCCCACTGGAAATGGAAGGCGAATTGAAGCTTTCGGGTTGGGTTGGGGTGGTTTGGTAGGTGGTGAAGAACGCTGGCAACGGAGGGACCGATGGGCAGGGATCGGGGGCGTCCAAGAGGGGGGCGTCCAAGAGGGGGGGGCGCAAATCATAGCCGGCGGCATGTGCGCGGCCCCTGGGGGGGCCGAGGCACGTCATGAAATAAGAAGAGGTGCCATGAGATCTGGGGAAATATCATGGCCCACGCCATGATATCCACCCCCCCTAATCATCACCCCCTTTTTTCCGCCTCCGAAGGGAGGAGGACGAAGAGGAAAGCCGGGCAAGGGCGTTGTGCAAAGATCTCCGCGCAGCCTACCTGGGGCGACGTCGGGGGCAGCGCAGGCGTGGCGGGACCGCCCAGGGCTGCCTAGCGGGCCCGTGGACGACAGCCAGGCCAGGCCATGCCAGGCCACCGCCTCCTCCTCCTCCTCCTCCTCCTCCTCCTCCTCCTCCTGTCCTCCTGTCCTCCTCCTCCTCCTCCTCCATCTCCTCCTCCTCCTCCTCCTCCTCCCCCTCCTCGTCCTCCTCCTCCTCCTCCTCCTCCTCCTCCTCCCCTCCTCCTCCTCCTCCTCCTCCTCCCCCTCCTCCTACTCCTCCTCCTCCTCCTCCTCCTCCTCCTCCATTCCTTCTCCTTACAAATAACTCCTACCCTGTTCCTTCCCTCCCTATTGTTCCGTGTCAAGCTCTGCGCTGGTGGTTCTGACGAAATACAGTCGGCCTTGATTGGACAGGACACGCGAAAGGACAAAAGACCCTTCCGGGGGCCACATGGCCACAGGAATGCAGGAGGCACGGGTCGTGAGGCACAAGACACAAAAATACCATTGATTTGGCAGGGTCGATCTATGAATCCGGGCCGACTGTATTGTTCCGTGTCAGGCTCTGCGCTGGTGGTTCTGACGACATAGAACTGCTGCGTGTCCCAACACATGTGCCCCGCCAAGAGATCCAAGGCGGGGGCCCTACATATCTCGACCCCCTTACTGGGGATCGTGCTTCCGCCGCGGATTGCTGGGTGTCCTCCCGAAGCGGCACCCACACGCTGGCAGTCAGGAGTAAACATCTGTCCTGGCTTGGCCAAACATGATCGACCCACGAACCCGGAAATTAATATAGAAATGTAAAGCATGGCAACGTTTTAAAGACACCTGCCTGGGCGACGGGCAATTACAATGCTGAATGTATCGGCCTTCATGTACCGTGCCGAAGGCTGTGCTATGCTGCGCCGTGCTAAGCTGCGATGTGCCATGCCGCGATGGTGCTCTATAGCGTTGTGGATCGACTCCTCCTTTTCATCCGAGTCCTGGCCGAACTGATCTGGATCTTAAGGTCGAGCTGCCTGAGCACGTAGTAGCTGCCCCAGAGCGAATTGACAGGAGGACATGCTTGGAGGACGCGCCGCGGAACGTCCCAAGGGGCGCGCCAGGCGACGTGCCAGGGGACACCGCGGGACGTGCCAAGGGGACGCGCTACGGAACGTGCCAATGAACGTACCACGGGACGTGCCAGGGGACGCGCCGCGCGACGTGCCAGGGTCACTCGCCACGGGACGCGCCACGGAACGTGCCAAAGACCGTGCCAAAATGCAAAGTTGAGCGTTTCGATCTTGATGTACCGTGCCGAAGGCTGTGCTGCAGAGCTGCGATGTGCCATGCCGCGATGGTGCTCTATAACTTAGCATTGTGGATCGATTCCTCCTTTTCTCATCCGAGTCCTGACCGGACTGATCTGGATCCTAAGTTCGAGCTGTCTGATCACAGAATAGCTGCCCCAGCGCTAAGTGAAAGGGAAGCATGCCAGGAGGACTCGCTGCGGAACGTCCCAAGAGACGCGCCAAGCGACGTGCCAAGGGACGTGCCACGGGGACGCGCCGCGGAACGTGCCAAGGGGGCGCGCTACGGAACGTGCCAATGAACGTGCAACCTCATGCTAAACATCCGCCTGGGCGAACTGGACACGTGAAAACAAATGGCTCGCTCGAGACATCCTCAACACATCTTTATGCTAAACGTCCGCTCCAGGCTCCCAGGAAGGCCCCAGAAGGCCCATGTTAGATACCCCCTAGGTGGCCTGGGCACGTTAAAGCACCTGGTTCAGCCTTGTTAAATACCCCCTCTGGGCGGCCTGGACACGTAAAACCACGTGGTTCCAAATCGGGACAATCATGCTACATCCCCTCCTGGGTGGCCTGGACACGTAAACGCACGTGGGACCAACTCTGGGCAACCATGTTAAATACACACTTGGATGGCCTTGACACGTTTAAACACGTGGTCCTTGCACACGTAAACACACATAGCTCCAGTTCGGGATAACCATGTCAGATATCCCCCGTGGGTGGCCTGGTCATGTAAAAACACGTGGTTCCAGCTCGGGACAGACATGTTCGATACCCCCCTGCGTGGCCTGGATACGCTGCATTCGCGCTCCCGCTCGAGACATCCTCGCAACGTCTTCCATGGAGAGGCCCCCAAAGCGCCACCACCCCCTTGTCCAGAGCAAGAAAACGTCACTTTTCTGGTTTCAGATCTGTGTTCCGGTAGCGCGTTTCGGGCCCCCCATGCGTTTCCTGATACTTGTTGGGCCCGACGCCATGTTAGATACCCCCCTTGGCGGCCTGGACACGTGGGAACACGTGGCTTCAGTGAGGGACAGTCATGTTAGAGACCCCACTGGGTGGCCTGGACATGTAAACAAAAAAACACATGGATCCAGTTTTGGGCAACCATGTTCGATACCCCCTCTGGGTGGCCTGGATATGTTAAAACACGTGGTCCTTGCTTGGGATAGCAATGTTATATACCCCTCCTAGGTGGCCTGGACACGCAAAAACCTGGGTGACAACTTCGGGGGACCCTGTTAGATACACCCTCTGGGCGGCCTGGACACGCTGAAAAATGTCCTTGCTCGGGACAACCATGTTCGATGCCCCCCTGGGTGGCCTGGACACGTAAAGACACGCGGTGCCAACTCGGGACAACCATGTTGGATACCCTTTTGGTCGACCTGGACACATTAAAACACGTGGTCCTTGCTCGGGACAATCATGTTAGATACCCCCATGGGTGGCCCGGACACATAAAAACACACGATTCCGGCTCGGGACAGCCATGTTAGATACCCCCCTTGCGTGGCCTGGATATGCTGAATCCGCGTTCCCGCTCGAGACACCCTCGCAACGTCTTCCCTGGAAAGGCCCCCGAAGCGCCACCCCGTGTCCAGAGCAAGAAAACGCCACTTGTCTGTTTGAAGGTGTGTTCGGGTATCGTTTTTCGGCCCCCCGTGCGTTTCCTGATAATTCGGCGTTGGGCCCGACTCCACGTTAGATACCCCCTCTGGGCGGCCTGGACACGTAAAGACACGTGGTTCCAATTCGGGGCAATCATGTTAGAGACCCCGCCGGGTGGCCTGGACACGTAAAAGCATTGCTCCAGCACAGGACCACCCCGTTAGATACCCCCCTGGGTGGCCTGGACACTTGAATACACGGGGCTCCAGCGCAGGAACACAATGTTGGATGCCCCTCCTGGGTGGCCTGAGCACGTAAAAACATATTGTTCCAGCTCGGGGCCACCATGTTAGATACCCCTTGATGGCCTGCACACTTGAATTAGCTTGACGAAGGACTCAACCATATGCAGCTGCGAGTGCCGAGCAGGATATGAAACGAAGGAGGGGGGCACGCGAACTAGCTCCCTCTTCTCATAGGCACCGCGCCAGCGCATGCACGAGGCACAGGGCAGGGCGGGCAGGAGGTGGCTGGCGGAGGAGGAGGAGGGCTCAGTGGGGCGAGCCACCACATCAGCATCAGCGCATCTTGAGACTTGTTACTGGACACGCAAGAAGAGGTTACGGAGACACCGCACTGATATCATGGGCAAGTCAGCAGCGGCAGAAACGAGACCAGGGGGCGCGCGGTCAAGAAGCGAAAGTAAGCAAGAGGAGCGGGAAACGAGGGGTGACATTTTTGCCTCCGGGCAGATAGCGAGCCACGCAGAGTTCACCGCGCAGTCGGCGCCGCGCGACAGTGGCTGGGGAGTCCCCACCGACGCGGTCTGGCCATCCCGAGGGAATCCCATCGACGCGCGGGGGTCGTCCACTGCGACTCAGAGCTCACGGATAGCAGCGCCCCGTACTGCGCGGAGAGGCGAAGCGAACAGGGCGCGATCCGGGCGAAATCGCCCCCGACAGGCGCCGGTCATTCTCTGGTGAAAGATTCCGAGGGCGGGCTGGGGTCATCCAGCTGTCCGTGACAGCCAGCGCGCGCCGCCAGCTCGTAGCGAATCGTGTTCCTGCTCCTCTTCCTTTTCCTTTTCCTTTTCCTCTTCCTCCTCCTCCTCCTCCTCCTCTTCCTCCTCCTCCTCCTCCTCCTCCTCCTGTGGGGCCGCGAAAACGTGTGAGGGGTATGCCGAAATGTGTGTGGGGGCAGCATGCGGGCGCAGCCACTGGGGCCTTCGGTGAAGCTCCGTGTGGGACCACGAAACGTATGAGGGGTGTGCCGAAATGGGTGTAGGGGCGGCATGCGGGCGCAGCCACTGAGAGCTTCGGTGGAGCTCCCTATGGAGCCACGAAGCTGACCCTCGCTGTCTGCATTCTCCTGGCGGGGGGGGCGCGTGCAACCTGCGCCACGGAGGGGACGCATGCAACCTGCGCCACTGGGACCTTCGGTGGAGCTCCCTATAGGGCCACGAAACACTGTACTGGGCGGGAGGGACGCATGCAACCTGCGCCAGTGGGACCTTCGGTGGAGTTCCCTGTGGGGCCACGAAACGCTGTCTTGGGTGGGGGGACGCATGCAACCTGCGCCATTTGGACCTTCAGTGGGGCTCCCTATAGGGCCACGAAACGCCGTCCTGGGTGGAGGGACGCATGCAACCTGCGCCACTGGGACCTTCGGTGGAGCTCCCTGTGGGGCCACGAAACGCTGCCCTGGGCGGGGGGGACGCATGCAACCTGCTCCTCTGGGACCTTCGGTGGAGCTCCCTATGGGGCCACGAAGCGCTGTCCTGGGTGGGGGGGGGCGCATGCAACCTGCGCCACTGGGACCTTCGGTGGAGCTCCCTGTGGGGCCACGAAACGCTGCCCTGGGCGGGGGGGACGCATGCAACCTGCTCCTCTGGGACCTTCGGTGGAACTCCCTATGGGGCCACGAAGCGCTGTCCTGGATGCGGGGGGCGCAGGCAACCTGCGCCACTGGGACCTTCGATGGAGCTCCCTGTGGGGCCACGAAGCGCTGTCCTGGGTGGGGGGGACGCATGCAACCTGCGCCAATGGGACCCTCGGTGAAGCTCCCTATGGGGCCACGAAACGATATCCTGGGTGGGGGGACGCATGCAACCTGTGCCATTGGGACCCCAGGTGGAGCTCCCTATGGGGCCACGAAGCGCTGTCCTGGGTGGGGGGACGAATGAAACCTGCGCCACTTGGACCTTCAGTGGGGCTCCCTATGGGGCCACGAAGCGCTGTCCTGGGTGGGGGGACGCATGCAACCTGCGCCACTGGGACCTTCGGTGGAGCTCCCTATGGGGCCACGAAGCGCTGTCCTGGGTGGGGGGGGGGCGCATGCAACCTGCGCCACTGGGACCTTCGGTGGAGCTCCCTATGGGGCCACGAAGCGCTGTCCTGGGTTAGGGGGACATATGCAACCTGCGCCACTGGGAACTTCGGTGGAGTTCCCTATGTTGCCACGAAGCGCTGTCCTGGGTGGGGGGGGAGCGCATGCAACCTGCGCCACTAGGACCTCCGGTGGAGCTCCTTGTGGGGCCACGAAGCGCTGTCCTGGGTGGGGGGGGACGCATGCAAACTGCGCCATTGGGACCCTCGGTGGAGCTCCCTATGGGGCCACGAAACGCTGTCCTGGGTGGGGGGGACGCATGCAACCTGCGCCGCTACTGGGGCCTTCGTGATGGCATGGAGGGGGAGGAGGGAGGGGGCAGCGGGAGGAGAAGGAGACGCGGAGCACCGTCTCTTCAAAACGAGGACCCAACACCACAGGATGGTTGGGAAAAATCACGGTTCCAGCCCACCCAGGGGGGATACCCAACGTGCGGTTGTCTGGGGCGCCAGCGAGGGACAACAATGTTGGATGCCCCCCTGGCCGACCTGGGCACGTGAAAACAAGCTTTTCGTCTGAGACATCCTGTGAATTCTGGCCCCCCACGAGCCCCCCGTTCGAGGAGATACCTCCCAACTCTGCAAAACCAGCCTTTCGCTAGAGACATCCTGAACAAATTCTGAAACACAAGCGTTTCGCTCGGGACATCCTCGAAAGTAATTTCGGCGGCCCTTCCCGACCTCGATACTTATCGGGAATAATTCCGCCGGCCCTTCCCCAACATGGCACGGGCGGCAGCTTACAAACTAAAAAAAAACCCTGGGCCCAAGCCCTGTCCGGGAAAAATTGGAGGCCCGGGTCCCTTCCCATCCCATATGTTGCATGTCTGGGGGGGCCTTCTCTGCCCCGTCGCGCCCCTGTCCGCATCGCACCCCTGTCGAAACCATGTTGGACTCCTCGAATCTGCATCGAGTCCGCCTCGGATCCGCGCCAAATCCGCGTCGAGTCCCGCTGGAGCACCAGGAAAGACCTGAATCCTGGGGACAGACGGGGCCTTCCGAGGATGCACAATGTGAGGGTCCGTCCTGTTTGGTGAAGGGGCCCTGGGACACACAAATAAATATACACCAATAGCAGGATTCACCACATGTTCCTATATTTTCTGGGCTTTCGTCTTCCCCTCCACTGCCCATATTTTCCAAGATTTTCTGGGAAATCGACGATGAATTCTGTCGATCTGTGTTTTTTCCCTCCTGATTTGGTCAAGATGTTGGAGGCCTCGGCCCCTCCCCTCCCCTCCTCCCGCTCCCCCCCTACCTCGGCTGGGCGGCGCGCCTCCCTGTGGACGGGGGCGGCGGCGGCGCCGAGCAGCCGCTGCATGAAGACGTACGACCTCACCGCCGGGGCACGGGGAGAATCGGGCTGGGCGAAAGGGGGGGATAGCTAAGGGGGGGTCTGAGAATCAGCTCACGCAGCTGATTTTCCCAGCGCCTCCTGGCGCCGGAGGCGCCCATGCATCGAGGAATGGGCCCGGCGGCGGGGCCGAAACCAGCTGCATGCAGCAGATTTCGTAAAACCCCCCCTTTCCAGGGACTGGGCTCGGGATCGGGGTTGTGCTCGGGCTCGGGCTTAGGCTGGAGCTGGGGCTCGGGCTGGGGCCCTTGCTGGGCTTGGGCGGCTCGGGCTCTGGCTCGGGCTGACATTACGTCCTGTGTGTGATATATCGCTCGACGCCCTGATCCCCGCCGCGACTCTCCCACTGACCTCAATGGGCACATCTTCGTCGACGGGTCCTGCACTGGGGAAGTCTCTCCAGATCCCTTCAGGGCGGGGCGGCCGGTGACACTCATTGATGAACAGGGAACCCATTTGGCTACAATGTGGGGCCTCTTTTGAGTCATCCCCACAGACGCCCCGGGCTGCAGCCTTTGCGGCCTTCTGTCCTGCGGCCCAATGCCGCACGGATGGGTTCCCATGTGTTCGGATGGTTCAGATGCTGTTCGGCAAGCCTCGGTACCCATGATGGTTCAATTATCGCATCGCAGCCCGTATGATGGATGCATGCTCCAAACTCTGGGTCAGGCCTCAGGCGTCACAATCAAAGTCAAAGTGCACCAGGCAAAGCGAAATGTTTTAACGAAAGTTGAGCGCTTTCAGGATATATGGCATTGACCTAGCAGACGCTGTTGCCCACGTTGCAGACTCAAGGCGCACCGCGCCTTCGCAAGACGAGACCCGAACGCGCCTCTCGGGCCAAACCGATATCGGTACTGGGAAGGGCGTCTCCGGCTGTGTTCGGGATGCTGGCGATCGTCGTGCAGCTTTCACAGAGCTTCCGGTGGCAGGTGTCCTGGGGCGCCTCCTATCAGCAGCCCCTCGGGCCACTCGCTGCGCGTCAACAAACACACGCCAGTTGTGATGTAACAACGCATCTGGGCTCTTAGCGACTGCCTTAAAACGACCGTATTGAACGCGCGGGTGACAGGCGAGGAACCTCAACAAGGGGCGCGTTGCCCTTCCCAAAGTCGACGTGCCCAGCGGCCATGGCAGACTCGACCCACATCGTCGTCGCCGATGTCGTCGTCGTCGTCGTCGTTGTCGTCGCCGTCGCCGTCGACGTCCTCGTCGTCGTCGTCGTCGTCGTCGTCGTCGCCGATATCGTCGTCGTCGTCGTGGCCGTGGCCGCCGCCGACGTCGTCGTTGTCGTCGCCGTCGCCCTCGTCGCCGTCGCCCTCGTCGTCGTCGTCGTATTCGCCGTCGTCGTCGTCGTCGTCGCCGTCGTCGTCGTCGTCGTCATGGTTGTCGTCACCGTCGTGACCAGCGTCCTCGTCGTCGTTGCCCTCAACGTCGTCGTCGTCGCCCTCGTCGTCGTCGTCGTCGTCTTCGCCGACGTCGTCGTCGTCGTCGCTCCAAGCCCCTGCAAACGGGGCAGTAGTGGTAGCTAAGGAGCCTCTTCAAGCGAGAACAGGGTGACAGGGCATTTACCCCGCGATGGTGCGTGATACATCGGTCCAATAAAAACGTCGTTACATCATCATAACTCTGGGCGGCGGGCTTTACCTCGCACTTGCGCGCGGCAAATCAATTGTTTGAAAATACCACTGCAAACGCACCCTTAGCTACCGGCCCGTGAACTAACGCCCCGTTTAAGGGGGCTTAGTCGTTGTCGTCGCCGTCGCCGTCGTCGTCGCCAGCGTCGTCGTCGCCGACGTCGTCGTCGTCGCCGTCGCCCTCGCCGTCGTCGTGGCCGTCGTCGTCGCCGTCCTCGTCGTCGCCGTCGTTGCTTCGACGTCGTCGTCTTTGACGTCGAAGTCGCCGTCCTCGTCGTCTTCTTCGTCGAAGTTGTCGTCGTTGTCATTGCCGTCGCCGTCGTCGTCGCCGGCGTCGTCGCCGACGTCGCCGTCCTCGCCGAGGCCCTCGTCGTCGTCGTCTTCGTCGTCGTCGTTGTCGTCGCCGTCGTCGCCGACGTCGTCGTCGCCGACGACGTCGTCGTCGTTGCTTCGACGTCGACGTGGTCAGAGTCGTCGTCGTCGTCGTCGTCGTGGTCGTCGTCGTCGTCACCGTCGCCCTCGTCGTCGTCGTCTTCGTCGTCGTCCTCGTCGTCATCGTCGCCGTCTTCGACGTCGTCGTCGTTGTCGTCGCCGTGGCCAGCGTCTTCGCCGGCGTCGTCGTCGCCGACGTCGTCGTCGCCGTCGCCCTCATCGTGGTCGTCTTCGTCGGCGTCGTTGTCGTCGCCGTCGTCGTCGCCGTCCTTGTCGTCGTCATCGTCGTTGCTCGACGTCGTCGTCGTTGACGTCGCCCTCGCCGTCGTCGTCGCTGGCGCCGTCGTCGTTGTCGTCGCCGTCGTCGTCGCCGTCGCCCTCGTCGCCGTCGTCTTCGTCGTCGTCGTCGTTGTCGTCGCCATCGTCGTCGCCGTCCTCGCCGTCGCCCTCGTCGCCGTCGTCCTCTTCGTCGTCGTCGTCGTCGCTGTCGTCGCCATCGTCGTCGCCGTCCTCGTCGTCGTCGTCGTCGTTGCTTCGACGTCGTCGTCGTTGTCGTCCCCGTTGCCGTCGTGGTCGCCGGCTTTGTCGTCGCCGACGTCGTCGTCGCCGTCGTTGCTTCGTCGTCGTCGTCTTCGTCGTCGTCGTAGTTGTCGTCGCCGTCATCGTCTTGGTCGTCGTCGTCGTTGCTTCGACGTCATCATAGTTGTCGTCGCCGTCGCCGTCGTCGTCGCCGTCGCCATCGTCGTCGTCGTCGTTGCTTCGACGTCGTCGTCGTTGTCGTCGCCGTCGTCGTCGCCGTCCTTGTCGTCGTCGTCGTCGTTGCTCGACGTCGTCGTCGTTGACGTTGCCCTCGCCGTCGTCGTCGCTGGCGTCGTCGTCGCCGACGTCGCCGTCGTCTTCGTCGTCGTCGTCGTTGTCGTCGCCGTCGTCGTCGTCGTCGTTGTCGTCGCCGTCGTCGTCGCCGTCCTCGCCGTCGCCCTCGTCGCCGTCTTCTTCGTCGACGTCGGCGTCGTTGCCGTCGCCGTCGTCGTCGCCGTCCTCGTTGTCGTCGTCGTTGCCGCTGCCGCCGTCGTCGCCGCCCGCGAGCGTCCGACCAGTCCCCGACGGACAGCGCGCAAACGCGCCCGCCCAGGACCATCAGGATGTGGACCTCGGCGCCCGTCAGGAGCCTCGGCGGCTGGGCCAGGTCCTTTCCTCATCGTCCTTCTCGTCATCTTCCTCGTGCTCCTCCTCCTCCCCTCCGCGTCTCTTCCTACTCCTCTCCGCTCCTCCTCCCTCTCCTCCTCCTCGTATTCCCTCGTCCTGGAGGATGGGGGCTGCAAGCACGATGGAGGGAAGAGGAGGGGCATCTCCTGCGCGTCCTCCCGCTCCCCATGTCTGGTCATTCGACGTTGAAGCCGGCGACAATGAACACGACAACAACGACGACGACGGCCGCGACGACGACGAGGTCGTCGACGACCACGACAGCCCATGTGGCACCTCAGAAGGTGGGGCGTCAGCTGCACCTGGTCGAGGTGCGCGGCCAACAGGAGGTCGACGTCCTCGCCGCGGGGACGTCGCCGTGGCCACGATGGTGGGTCGCCGAGAGAGACTGCTTCAAGTTTTGCACTGCCATCGGCCCTCGAGGAAGGAGGAGAGATGTGTTTGGACGTTCTTGAAATGTCTGCAAGCGTGTTTTCCCTCTGGCGGCCTCCAGGGGGTTTTCAAAGGGTCAGGATCTGGGACGGAACAGGATACCAAGGGAGCGTTCTCCTCCTCATCCTTATTGCCCTCATCTTTCTCATTTGTCTTACCTCATCCCTCATACTCTCCTCCTCCTCCTCTTTCTCCTCCTCCTCCTCCTCTTCCTCCTTCTTCCTGGAATCGGGACAAAACGAAGTTGATGGCCATGGACCCAACCGATTCAAAACATTAGTCTTACGAAGGACCCAACCATATGCACTTGTAGGTAGCGTCGCTGTATGCACTGCCTTCGGTGGAGCTCACTATGGGGACTCGAATCGTATTAGATGTGTGCCAAAATGGGCGCGGTGGGCGCATCCGAGCGCTGGCATTCTGGTCTTCGATGGGGCTCACTATGGGGCCACGAAGCGTGTGAGCGTGTACCAAATGGGCGCGGTGGGCGCATGCGAGCGGTGGCATTTGGGGCCTTCGGTGGATCTCCGGATCTCAGTATGGGGCCACGACACGTGCGAGGGATGCACCAAAATGGGTGCGGTGGGAGCATGCGAGCGCTGGCATTTGGGCCTCCGGTGAAGCCCCCTTAGTGGGGCTACGAAACGTGTGAGGGCTGTGCCAAAATGATCGCGGCAGGCGCATTCGAGCGCTGGAATTTGGGTCTTCGATGGAGCTCCGTATGGGGCCACAAAACGTGTGAGGGGTGTGCCAAAATGGGCGCGGTGGGCGCATCCGAGCGCTGCATTTGGGGCATTCGGTGGAGCCCCCGATGGGGCCACGACATGTGTGAGGGGTGTGCCAGAATGGGCGCGGTGGGCGTATGCGAGCGCTGGCATTTGGGTCTTCGGTGGGGCTCCCTATGGGGGGCCACGAAACGTGTGAGCGGTGTACCATAATGGGGGGGTGGGCGCGTGCGAGCGCTAGTATTTGGGCCTTCAGTGGAGCTCCCTACGGGGCCACGAAACGTGTGAGGGGTGTACCAAAGAGAGCGCGGCAAGCGCATGCGAGCGCTGGCATTTAGGCCTTCGGTGGAGCCCCGTATGGGGCCACGAAGCGCGTGAGGTGTGTGTGTGTGTGTGTGCCAAAATGGGCGCGGTGGGCGCATGCGAGCGCTGGCATGTTGGCCTTCGGTAGAGCTCCCTATGGGGCCACGAAACGTGCGAGGGGTGTGCCAAAGTGGGCGCGGTGGACGCATGCGAGCGCTAGCATGTGGGCCTTCGGTGGAGCCCCCTGTGGGCCACGACACGCGTGAGGGGTGTGCCAGAATGGGCGCGGTTGGCGTCTGCGAGCGCTGGCATTTGGGCCTTGGGTGGAGCTCCCTAGGGGCCACGAAACGTGTGCCAAAATGGGGCGGTGGGCGCATGCGGGCGCTGGTATTTTGGCCTTCTGTGGAGCTCCCTACTGGGCCACGAAACATGTGAGGGGTGTGCCAAAGTGAGGGGGGTGACGGGAGGAGGGAGGATGGAGAGGAGGAGAGCAGAAGAGAAGAGGTGGGACGCGTGGCGCTGTCTCTTCAAAACGCGGACCCAACACCGTAGGACTGTTGGGAACAAAACGTTCGAGGCATTGGTTCCTCCGCCTTATATCCCCTAGATCCTTCTGCAACTATGCCCACTGCGGTCTCCGCCAGTGGTGCAAGATCGCAGCACACACACACGAATCTCCACAGGCACGGGTTGTGAGGTCTGTCGGTTCAGACAGCAACAGGAACGAAAACCAACCTGCTCCCCGTTCGGCTCGGCTTCGCTTTGCGTATCTGCCGTGTGCCCCCCCCCCCCCTGGGCGTGCACAACACTCATCTCAAGAAGGCGGTTCGACGTCATCCGCATGCCTGTCCACCTGCCCGAGTGTTCCGTGGAGCCCATTCACAAAACAGCTGCTGGTTCTTTACAGTCGCCCCTGTGTACGCTTGGCGTGCCCACTCTCAGTCGCCTCCACGCTGCAGACGAGCATCGCCCAACCTCCTCCACTGTGACCACCAGCATTCGCCGAAATAGTCTGGGGCGTCATCGCCGCGTATCCAAATCTGGCTGGCTGACGGATCCTCCTCCTCCACCAGCTTCTGGTGCTGATGGGGAAGAGCGCCTTCTGGCTCCATGTCGGCGCCTCCTGCTCCAGCGGATCCCCAAAGTCCATGGACCAGTGTTTGAGCCCCACACGACAGGCATGGGCTGCTAGACTCTAAGAACAGACCTTCTGACCCGCCCACCCTGCATCGCGCGGCCGCCAGATCCCCACGACCACAGGTGGTCCTGCGTGAATATGTGTTTTTGTTCCAGAGCTGCTCAGAGACGAAACGAGGAAGAGGAGGAGGCAGGAAGGAAGGACAGAAGGGAGGAGGGGAAGAGGAGGGGATGACTGCTGCGGCAAAATGACACGCTGTGTGACAGGGCAAGCAATGTGGCAGCACTCGCTAGGAAGAGGCTCGGCAAACTATCCGCAGACCCTGTCGACGTGTGACAGGGGCTGTTCCGTCGCCATCGCCGTCGCTGCCGCCGTCGCGTCGCCGCCGCCATCACGTCCCCTCCTTCCCCTGAGTCGGTCGCCGCTCCCCCCCTTTCCTTGGTCCCTCGTCCTCAATCACGCCTGCCAAAGCGAAATACACCAGCCCATCCACAGCGAATTAAGCAACATTGTCATTGAATCGAAGGGGAACCCCTTCTCTTTGATCCCTTCCCCGCGGGGGGGGTCCCGGGGGGTGGTCCCAAGGGGTGGTCCCGGGTCAGAATACCACCATCCTGGGGCCCATGAGCCGAGACAGCTTGAGCCAGAGGCTACGGAGCTGGTGGGGACTCGCGAAGCGTGAACAATTTCGGTGGGGATCGATCGAAGCAAAATCATTTGCATCTCGGCGCGCCGCAGTCTCGCACCAGCGGCAACAGACCGAACAGGCGACCTGGAGGAGGATGTCGAGGACGCCCATGAGCTTCGAAGGCGAAGCAGGAGAGAGGGTGGGGGAAAATGAAGGATCGAGGCTTGAGGACGCCAGTTGCCCGTCTTGAGGGCCACGAGCCACCCATGGCATCCAAACATACGTGTGGCCGTGGAAGGCGCAGTGGACCTTCCGCGGACCAGAGCGTCACACCTTGTGGGCAAACCAGACATCTCGCAGCCATTAGTCATCTTGGCGACCAGTCGCGGCATTACAGCAAGTATGTTCAAACTGATAACCTACCTCCTTCAAGTAAGCCGCAAGCGCGGCAACTTCGTAGGGACGATGGTGCCGCGGCTCCAGTGCCAGCCAACGCCGCACGCGTTACATCATCATCCCACCATCCCTGTCAAAACGTCAAAACGACCTCCTCACCAGACAACCCGACACACTTTAAAAACGCATGGGTGGCTTAAGCACCCTGGAGACACTTCTCGCAAGCCTGCTCAGACCACTACCAAAGCTACTTCCTTGTACAGGGCATAAGCCAAATACAACTGTTTACCTCCGCCCGTGCTCGTCGCCCCTTTGGGCCGACACAGAACAGCATCGCCAAACTCGCCCTGCAAGCTTCTCTGAATCGGCGGTGGACAAATCTCCCTTTGGTAAACCTCCCTTTAGTGAAAACGGCCTAGGACCGAAACCGACGGACCTGGACCCGCAAAATAACGGCCGTGACGCCCTCTCGCGAACCGACAACGGCTAATTCACTAATCGACGTGTCAGGGTAGGAGGTCTATCCACCCCGACTGGACATGCTAACCAAGTCCTCGCGTACAGCATGCGAGCAGCAAGCCAACATTGGCCATTGACACCCCAACCAACCAGAACGGCTCGTGCAGATCAAGGCTGGGGCGACGGTTCCTGGGCCGAATACATAGAAACGTTTGATCAACAATGCTTCCCCTGAGTCATTTGATGATGGCAAAAAGGCTTGACAGTAATCCTTGTACTTGAAACGTCGCCTGGCAGCTTTCATCGCCAGGATCAGCGCCGCCACCGGGATCTGCCAGGGCGCTGCTCTCTCTCTCTCTCTCTCTTTTTTGTTTTCTCTCTCTCTCTCTCGAATAGCCATTCGACCGAAAAACGCCCGCCCGAGCCGCCCCAAACGCTACTCGACCAATTCTCGGCGACGACCAAGGAGGGGAAGTCCAAGAAGGGGATAGCAAATCATAGCCCGAGGCACTTCACACGGACAAGTGGAGGGCCAGGGGACTGGTTGAAAGAAATTCAGGGGACATGGAATTTGGGAAAATGTTATGGATCTGGCCATGGTGTCCACCCCCTACTCCCCTCTTGCCCGAACCCGATGTGATCGAAACAAAACAGGAGACTGAACCGACACTGGACGGACAAACACACATGCAATCGACCCTTGCACGAGAAGCACGGCCTTCCCTGCTCTTGGCCTGACCAGGAGTCGCCAAGCCGCCGCTGAACCCATGGCCACCCACGGCTCTGCCCGAAGGCCCTCCATTTCGAACTCGTGCCCAAGGGCACTGGGTAGATAGATGGGAAGACAACACCACCGGACACAGTGAGCGACTTCTGTTCCGTGGTGTCGCGCGGGTGGGCCTGATCCTCAAGCCTCGAAGCATGCTGGGACCACCGCTCCACCTCTTCATCCTTTGCCACCCCTGCACCATCCTTCCCCGTTTCATCAGATCGGCGGTGGACAAACCTCCCTTTAGGAAACCTCCCCTTAGTGAGAACGGCCTGGGACCGAAACCGACGGACCTGGACCCGCAAAAATGACGGCCGCGGCGCCCCCTCGCGAACCGAAAACGGCCAATTCCTTGATCGGCGTGTCAGGGTAGGAGGTCTATCCGCCCCCGACTGGACATGCTAACCAAATCCCCGCTTACAGCATGCGAGCAGCAAGCCGACATTGGCCATTGACACCCCAACCAACCAGAACGGCTCGTGCAGATCAAGGCTGGGGCGACGGTTCCTGGGCCGAATGCATAGAATCGTCTGATCAACAATGCTTCCCCTGAGTCATTTGATGATGGCAAAACGACTTGAGAGTAATCCTTGTACTTGAAACGTCGCCTGGCAGCTTTCATCGCCAGGGTGGGAGGTCTATCCGCCTCCGATCACAACGCCTCCCCTCCAGCCGTCTGCCCAGAGCGGCCCGGTGTCTGCCGCACGCCGCGGTGAACCACTCGCGCTGCAGCAAGCCCGTCGCCGCCCAGCCGAGTGCCCGGATCCGAGCCCGCATCAGCCTCACACCTCAAAGCTACACGTCGTTCATGCCTAATCGTGCTCATTTCTAAGTGCGCTCGATTCTGGCTTGCATGACACCTTCAAACGATATTATGATGCCATGTTCTAAAAATGTCATCTGAACCACATCGCGCGTTTTGCCTCCCCCTCGTCCCCCCTCCCCCCAATGACGTAGCGCTCACCCCTCCCAGTACGTCCTCGGCACTTCCGCAGTGCGTCTGGCACCACGGTTTGTGGTGCGGGAGCCACTCGGCGGGGGAGGGGCGTTGGTATCGGGCGCCGCGGCCGTGCCAGAGCCTGAGACGCCGTGAGAGCGTTCCGAAAAAAACACTGGGGTGTGCTGTTCTGGTCTTGCGCCCGCCCGACAAAGGCTCCCGCTGGCTTCGCCGCGGCCGCCGTGGCCCGTTGCCGAGCTGGTCATCGCTCGGACGTCCATTCCCTGTGCTTGTTTCGGGATCGCGCGTGGTTTTTTCGCAGGATGATCCAAGATGCTCCTTAATAAGAGAGCGTGATCCACCGACGCTTTACTATGGAAAATTCCCCCCCCACTTCCTCCCGAACCCGGGGGTCCCCCCCCCCTCCCTCCGAAAATCCTCCCCCCCCTGCTGGATCCCCCCCCCCTTCCCTCCCCCGGTTAACCCCCCCCCCTCCCCAAACCCCCCCCCCTCCCCCTCGAAAACCGGGGGGGTCACTACCGGTTCGAACCCCCCCCCCTCCCCCTCGAAAACCGGGGGGGTCACTACCGGTTCGAACCCCCCCCCCCCTCGAAAACCGGAGGGGGGGTCACTACCGGTTCGAACCCCTCCCCCCCCCCTCACCGCCAGCAAACGACTCCCGGTCCCTACCACCGTCCGCACCACATCCCCCACTGTTGTTCCCAGCACCACTGTCCTCACCACCTCTGTCCCCACTGGTTCCACCACCGTCCCTACTGTCCCCACCAGTGCCCCCACCACTGTCGCACTGTCCGCACTGTCCCCACCACTGTTCCCACCACGGTTCCACTCTCCCCACTTTCTCCACGGCCCCAACCACTGCCCGAATACCCCCACTGTCCCCACTGTCCCACTGACACCTCCGCTGTCCCACTGAGCTTTCCCACTGTTCCCACCACTGTCCCCACCACTGTCCCCACTGTCCCCACCACTGTCCCCACTGTACCTCTGTAAGATTTTCCCACCGCCGTCCTCGCCACCGCCTTCACCACTGTCCCCACCACCACTGTACCCTCCACTGTACCACTGTTTCCACCACATTCCCACTGTCCCCACACCACTGTCCCCACCACCACCGTCCCCACCACTGTCCCACTGTTCCCACCATTGTCCTCACCACTGTCCCCACCACTACCGTCCCCACCACTGTCCCACTGTCCCCACCACTGTCCCGCTGTCCCCTCACCAATGTCCCCACCACCACCGTCCCCACCACTGTCCGCACCCCGCCCCGGTTTTCGAGGGGGGGGGGTTAGAACCGGTAGTGACCCCCCCCGGTTTTCGAGGGGGGGGGGGCTCGAATCGGTAGTGACCCCCTCCCTTTTCATGATGGACTGGGGGGGGGGAGGGGTTCGAACCGGTAGTGACCTCCCTCGGTTTTCCGGAGGGGGGGGGGAGGGGTTCGAACCGGTAATGACCCCCCCCCGGTTTTCCGCCATGGCAGCAGCGGTAGAACACGCTCTTTCCTTAATAATCCCCGCCGGGAAAAAGTGCACACGTCCGAGCGATACCAAGCGAGAGGCCTCTGGCGGCAGCTTGCTGTACACGACCGACGGCCGCGTGCAGCAGTAGGCGTCCAGGAGGGCCATGGCGCGGCCCCAGCAGCCACGCGCGCCGAGGTCGCCCGCGAGGTTGCGCACCTGGGCGCGGGCTCAGAGAATCTCCCCTCGTCAGCCAGGCCTGTGCACATACGGGTGATCGGGTGTCGCAAGACGTGGTCCTGGCCCGAGGTGTCCCCAGCTCTTCGCGCCATCTTGAAGCCCCATGGGGTCCTCTGGGCCTCGTGAGAGGTGCTCTGGCGGCAAATCAGGCTTCCTTGGGAATCCCGGCGACACCTGGGGCCAGGGCACCTCTGGCAACACCCCAAGTGAGGGGCCGAACGTGCAAAGAACAGCGGAAACTGCACACAGCTTTGACACAGTGAAGATAGCATAGTCCTCGCTATCTCGTGCCACCTGATCGGAGCAGGTGGCTCGAGGCACTGACAATACCATTCGGCAGTGCAAACCAAATGATCATCGAATTTGATGGCACCCCAAATTGAGGGGCCGCACGTTGGGAGCGCGGACGCAGACCTTCGCAGACCTCGGCATCGACTGCAATGCGGATCAAAACGTCGCTAGGCAAACCAAGCCGCATCGGTTAATCCAATCGAATCGACATGTGCATCCGGTCGGGCTGCTTCGGCACGGGATCCGGATCGAATCGGCCCGGTTGCGCCAAGATGCGCCAAAACGCCATGCGAACATCGTGCCGCATCGGATTGCCGGAATCTCGAAATCAAATCGGATCGGGCCGGCCCGAATCGGTCGAATCAGATCGATCGGATCCCAACGGGCCCTGTGCTATCGCCCTGTTGCACTGCCGTGACAACCCTGCACGCAACCCGCCCCGCGACCCACCCGCGCGGCGCAGGCCCACCCGCCCCTCTCGCTGCCATCCGCAGTCGCGCGAAGCCAGGACTGCACGTGCTCGTCTACAGTTGGGAACTTTTGCACAGGGATGGACCTAAGCGGTGTTTTGGCGATGTCGTGGGCCGTTTTCGTTTCGACGTCGTTTTGCGGTAGGCGGTAGGGATGGATTGAAGACAAAACGAGGGAAAACGAAAACAAAACGAAAACCTAAAGCACCGTTTAGGTTCAGCCCTGCTTTTGCATGGCGTGTCGCCGCGGCATCCCTGGCGACATGCTAGGCTCTGCGAGCGATGGCGTGTCGCTCCGCTCCACGGGGCGGGAGGCGGGGAATCGCGCCCAAAACCCAAGTAGCGCCGACAACCAAAGAGGCGCCGAAAACCACAAAGGCGCCGAAAACCAAAATGGCGCCGAACACCAGAAGGATACCCAAAACCAAAAGGGCGCCAAAAACCAAAGTGCACAGGAAACCGGAAGAGTGCCGAAAACTCAAGGAGCGCCGAAAACAAACAGGGTGCCGAAAACCAAAGGGGCGCCGAAAACCAAAAGAGCGCCGAAAACCAAAAGGGCACCGAAACCAAACGGAGCGCCGAAGACCAAAAAAGCGCCGAACCCGAAGAGGTCGCCGACAACTCAGAAAGGGCGCCGAAAACCAAAGGTGCGCCAAAAACCAAGAGGGCGCCGAACACCAAAAGGGCGGGCGCCGAAAACCAACGAGGCGCCGAAAAACAAAAAGGGCGCTGAAAAACAAAAGAGGCGGCGAAAACTGAAGGGGCGCCGAAAACCAAAGAGTGGTCCCCAAAAAGGGTACCGAAAACAAAAGAGGCACCGAAAACCAAAGAAACGTCAAACACCAAAAGGGCGCCGAAAAACGAAATGGCGCCGAAAACCAGAAAGGCGCCGAAAACCTAAAAGGAGCAAAAAACCAAGAGGGCGCCGAAGACCGAAGAGAAACCAAACACCAAAGAAGCGCCGGACATCAAAAGAAAGCCGGAAACCCAACGTGGCGCCGAAAACAAATTGGGCGCCGAAAACCAAAGGAGCGCCGAAACCCGAAGGTGCGCGTAAAATCAAAAGCGCCGAACACCAAAAGGGCACCGAAAATCAAAAAGGTACAGAAAGCCAAAGGGGCTCCGAAAACCAGGAAGGTGCCGAACACAAAGATGCCGAAAACCAACGATACGCCGAAAACCAAATGAGCACCTCAAACCAAAGGGGCGCCGAACAACAGAAGGGCGCCGAAAACCAAAAAGGGGTGCCAAAAAACAAAAGAGCGCACCGAAAATAAAAGAGACAACAAAAACCAAAGGGGCGTCGAAAACCAAGGGAGCGCACCGACGCCCTCCTACGTCTGGCTACCTCCGCGGGCCTCCTGATGCCTGACGACGCCTTCTACCTCCCACCTGTTCATGCCTCCTCCTACGTCGTTCAAAATACGCCATACCTCCTCCGACATTATCCTACATGAGCCCGCCTCGAATCACAGACTTCTACCTCCTCCAACGCTCTCCTGCGTTACTCATACCACCTCCCACTACCTCCCGCCTCCCCCCGTCCCATCCTACTTACTCGGACCTTCACCTCGAACCCCCGGCCCTTCCTCTTCTATGTGCCGCGAGACGGGGGGAGGGAGCTTCTGAAGCACCCCCCCTTTGGAAAGGGAGGCTGGGCTGACCTTCGGCTAAGGGAGACGGGCGCATCGAAGACCCTCCCCTTTTGCAAAACCCCAGGCTGCGATAGATGAGGGGTGGGGGTAGCTTCGAAAGCCCAACCCCCGTTTCAAAAGGGAACCGCGACTGACTTTCGGCTCTGGAACAAAAAACTGGACGGGGCGTACCTTCGAACCCCCCCAAATTGGAAAGACAATCCAGGCTGCGAAAGGGGGGGACGGGGGGGGAGTTTCCGAAGCCCCACCCTCTTTGAACGGGGAGCCTGGGCTGACCTTCGGGTCCGAAAAAAGGGGTGAGGGGGGTAGCTTCGAAGCCCCCCCCATTGGCAAGGCAATCGCAGCTGCGAAAAGGGGGGGGATGGGGGGGTAACTTCGGCACCCCTCCAACCTTTGAACGGGGAGACCAGGAAAGAGGGGGAGGGGGTGGGGGCTTCCAAGATCCCCCCCTAGCCCACGAATGCGCACAAAAGGACGGGCGCCCACCCTCCTTCTCCAGGGGAGGGGGGGGGGTATCTTGAAGCCGGGCCCCCCTTTAGCAGGACTGCGCGTCGGCCCGACTGGGGCGCGTGCCGAGGCGGCGATGCCGGAACGGCCGGCGCAGGCACCCTCCGCGAGGAGGCTCCTGCGGAACGTCGCATCCTCGGCGGCAGAGGGCCGGTGCAGCTCATGTCGAGGGCGTTCCATCTTCCCATACAGTCGGGGCGTTGACCTAAGGAACCCTAAATAAGTAACGAGGCCCCTTTTTTCCATAAGTTCGTCTTCGATTTCCTGACGAAAACATAAGGAAAGCCTGAGGCAAGCTGTAAAACACTTAAGGAACGCGGAGCCCCTCCCCAACGAAAAGGGTTCCTTCTTCAGGGCCCCGACTGTAAACAAGACTTCCAGCCACCCCCAGAGCGGAGACACGGCATGATGAGAGGCATCGAACTCGGAGGAGCGACATGGCCTCTGATGTTGCCTGAGGGAGCCTCCTCGGACGGACCCAAATCACGCTCTCTGGAGCTCATGCTACCGCGTCAAATGGACAACATGATGCGGAGGACCTCCTCCTCCTCCTCATCATCCTCCTCTCTGCGCTCTAGCTTGCCCGATCTGGTGAGATGGAGGAAGTCGAATCGGAGACGAGAGGGTGTTACGACCAAGAGTCTACACTGCCGGGGGGCGGGGAATGGCGTTCTGCGTTGCCGCCAGGTTAAATCCAAGAGCCCCATGGGCGCCTCCTCCTCCTCCTCCTCCTCCTCGTCCTCGTCCTCATCCTCCTCCTCCTCCTCCTGCTCCTCCTCCTCCTCCTCCTCCTCCTCCTCCTCCTCCTCCTCCTCCTCCTCATTCTCAGCTTCCTCCCCCCACTCCTAGCCCTTTCGATCAGGGTCGGCGGCACCGGCCGTCATGCCTCTCCAATCCAAGAGCCCCATGGGCGCCAGCACAGACGGAAGCTCACACTTTCCGCGTCCACAACTGGACAGGAAGGCGAAACATCCCCTGCAAGTGGAGACACTTCCCTGTGCGGCCAAGTCCCATTCAATCTCTGCGATGCTCGCTTGATGCGATGCAGCAAACAGAAAAACTCAACGCACCCACTGCACACTTGTATTAGCTCCACGAACCACGGTCTAACCACGTGGCCTTACAAGGCGTATGGGAAGGGAGAGGAGAAGGGGACGGGAAGGGAGCAGCGGGAGGGGAGGAGAGGGGAGTGGAGGTGGCGAGGGAGGGGAGGGGCGGAAGGTGTGAGGAAACGAACGGAGAGAGGGTATTGGGGGATGGAGAACGACTGGGGCTGTGAGGGAGGGGCGAGCCATGCCATGTCACAGTAAAGCAAGCAATGCAAGGCCACGCAAAGGGAGCGCCACCAAAAACAAGAGAGGTCTAGCAAAGTAAGTTGTGGCACAAGGAAAACAATAACGACGAAACAAAGAGCATAACTGCGCGACGAGCATGAGCAAACGCGACAAGGCAACACCTAGCAGGTCAGACCAATGCGATAGCAAGCAACTTGCGATCATGCAGCGCAAGCAAGACACGAAGAGGAAGTTCAAAGACACGTAAGGCGAAACTAGGACCACCGCAAGGAAATAAACACATGCATTGCGAGGCAATGCTAGGCTAGGCATAGCAGAACATGGTAACGCATGGTCTAACGCATCAGAGCAAGGCACGGCACATCACTGCAATGCACCAACCGCCAACACATAGCATTACCAGAAACACATGGTGCACCAATGGAAGGAATCACCTAGTAAAAGACGACGGTGTACGATATGTCTTGGGATGGGGATGCGAATCAAAGTATGCTTCTCTTACATACGTGCGGGAACGCGGCCCATCACGATCGAGAGGGACAAACCAACGAACAGCAGGGCAACGCCACGGGTGACAAGGCCAGACAAGGTAATGTGCCCTAAGCCAACCAGCAGAGAACACACATTACAGGTCATCCAAGGCGACGCTTGGCAGCACAAAACAATGTAAGTTCAGCCACGGCAAGAATCATAGACACCATGACGTAACAATACGAATACCAACAACCCCGTCCCAGGCAACACGTAACACATGGTCCGGCAAAACCAGGCACGGCCAAATCAAATTATCTCGCTGTCGAACACAACGGTAACATAGTGTGCGCGGTCGCTCACGATCCGAAACATCCCTGCAACAATTCAATGCGTGTCGCGTGTTCACGAGTATCCCTGCAGCGCGAAGTCTCTGAAACTTCACGCCGTTCGAAATAGCACGTTGCACGTTCCATTTAAGCCCACCGCTGTCTTCACTATGCGTCACGACTTCATTTGAACAGGCAATTGTTCGCACTGAAATTGCAGACGGCGGGCTTTCGTAATCGCAAACGCACAGCGACAACATAAACGCTTTCACTCCAAACCCGGACAAATGTCCTCCACACCCTTCCAATGCTTCTCCCATGGCACGTACGCGTCCAACTCCTCCAAGACAAACATTCGTTCTCGGACTGCGGGAGCCGATTGCCAGGACATAAGTACAAGGACTTACGAGCACAATGTATTCAGCCACGCAATACCCTCGGAATACCACTCGGGCATGATCAGGCTGATGGTGCAATCGGAAACGCAAATGAATGAATAGACGGGAAGTGTGGCGTCGCCGAACAAATCTAAATACAGCAACATCCCCGACCACTACCTCCGATTACCCTGACCACTTCGGTCGCATACGATCACCAACGTCAAAAATGTATGATTCGACAAGTTTACGCTGCGAACATGCATGGCGCAACGCAATCACACGATGACGCGAAGCCGACCTCAAATTCAATGGATGCGGCAATTGTGATTCGCAAGCGGGCGATCCACATACAGAAGGACGCACAAAAAACGTGCGATACACATCGCTACGTGGCCGCTGCAAAGTGAGGACGCTATCAATACAACTGTCAATGGATCGCGTCGGAACACATACAACATGCCGTGCAATGCCGCCGGTGCTGAATGCATGACTCGTGTCGTGGTGATTTAGAAACACAAAACAAGCGCCGATCCCCCCTTTCCCCGATCCGTTGTCGGGGAACCCCCCCCCCCTCCCCTCCTTTCCCGCTCCGTCGTCGGGGAACCCTCCCCCCCCCATTCCCGGTCCGTCGTCGGGAAAGCCCCACCCCCCCTCCCCCCCTTCCAAAAGGGGGGGGTCCGACCACCCCCCCTCCCCCCCTTTGGCCGCCAAATTCGAACGCCCGCCCGCCCTCCCCCCCTTTCGCCACGGCGCCTCTGGTCTCCGGAACCCGACCCCTACCACCCCTAACACGAATCCTCACCTTTACCCTAACCCCAAACCCAACCCCCAAACCCAAACCTTAGCCCCAAACAATACCCACCACTCATTACGCACTACTCACCACCCACACTTCACTACTCGCAACTCACTACTCATTTCTCACTATTCACTACTGCAGACTTACTCCTCACTACCCACGACCCACTATTCACTACTCCGTACTCCATATTCCCTGCTCACACTCACTACAGACTACTCACTACTCACTACCCACTACTCAATACTCACTAGTCACTAAACGCAACCCACTACCCACTGCTCACTGATCACACATCACTGGTCACTACCCACGAACCACTATCCATTATTCCCTACTCACACTTGACTACTCACTACTCGCTGCCTACAACTCAGTAGTCACTATCCACTCGATACACGCTACTCCCTACCTCGCGACTCGCTATTCGCTACTCGCTACCCACTATTGCTGCCCACAACTTCACTACTCACTACTCGCTACTCGCTACTCCCTACACAGTACTTGCCACTCACTACTCACTACTCGCTACTTCCTACGCACTACTCGCTACCCAAAGCGCACTATCCACTACCCACTACTCACTAATCACAACGCTCCCACTACTCACTACTCACTACTACCTGCTTTCTACTCACTACTCCCAACTCACTACTCACTATTCGCTACTCACAACTCACTACTCGCTGATCCGTACTCAATACTCGCGACTCCCTACTCGCTACGCGCTACTCCCTACTCACTGGTCACTAGTGACTCTTGACTACTCCCTCCTCACTACTCACTACTCACAACACCCTGATCGCTACTCACTACTCACTACTCGCTACTCCCTGCTCGCCACTCCCTACTCGCTACTCGCTACTCACCACTCACTACTCACTACTCCCTACTCACTGCGCACTACTCACTAGTCACTAGTCACTACTCACGCCTCACTATTCGTCATTGTCTACTCCCTCATCCCTACTTCCTGCTTGCTACGCACTATGCACTACTCACTACACACTACTCAGTCCTCCCTACTCACTACTCACACGTCCTTGCTCACTACTTCCTTCCCGCTACTCACTACCCACTACTCACTACTCACTGATCTCTACGCGCGACTCACTACTACCACTACCCATTACCCACTACTCACTACTCACCAGTCACGACTCACTGCGCACTACTCACTAACAAACTAACAAATACCCACTACTCAGCAGTCGCTACTCAAATCATTTTACTCCCTACTCAATACCCGAGAGGCCCCCTCCCCAGCCCCCTGTTCGGCGCAAAAGGGGGGAGGGGGGGGGTCCGGACCCGCCCACCCTTCAGGGGGGGAGGAGGGTGCTCGCAGAACCCCCCCCCCTCCCCCCCCCCAAAGGGGGGAGGGGGGGGGTTCTGCGAGCACCCCCCCCCTTATGCGTATTCAGGGCCATCCACTGGCGCGCTTTCACAAATAATGACACGTTCATCGTCCCCTTCTAAACGGTCCTCCATGCAACGTGTGGGCTCCCAGTGGACGCCCATGCAAACTCTGCCTCCGCCATGATGGAATCGCCATCGAATAACAATGAACCGATCTGCGATTCTTGTTTAGGCGGAGCGAGGTCTACGCGTCCACACGTGTATTCTGCTACGTATGACCGCCTCAGTACCTGATGCAATCGCTTGCCTCATTTCGGAGTCGATCGGCGTTTTGAGCCCGTAGGCCCGGGGGGCACCACCCTTGGAAATGATGCTGCCCAGAACCTGGGTCACCGAACTTCGCGTATCGCTCCCCGCGACGCTGGACGCGCGCTTACCTTCGCGCCCACGCGCCACAGCCCTGGAGAACGGTGCCTTGCCAGCTCAGGGCCGCGATGCGCGAAGCGCGGTTACACGCCGGTCGGAAGAAGTAGGTAAAAACATGAAGTAGGAAGGCGGATCAAGTAGATTGGGTTCAGGACCTCCCAGAGAATCACAAACCACAGAAAACGCGCATCGGCTCCTGAAGTAGGAAGGCGCTTGAAGCAGATTGGGAGCCGGGAAGCCAGAAATACATACTTTCAACGACCGGCGTGTACTCCAGATTTCGTAATAAAAGGGAGGGGGTCTGGACCTCCAAGACAAGCCATTTCAGACCTCCCCCGTGGGAGAACCCTCCAAAACATCGTCCCCAGACCCCCCAGGCCCTCCAAGATAGCCTGGAAGAGACCCCCCCCCGAAATGAGACCCCCCTCCCTCTATTACGACATCTGGAGTACCTTCGTGCCCCCAGGGGGTGGCCCAGAGAACGCCACGGGGTCGCCGCTGCCCCGAGCGGCCCAGCAGCTCGGAGCGGGGCGCCTCGGCAGGGCGCGGCTCTTGCACTGCGGCGCGCGTGGGGGCGGTCAGACCCTCGAGAGGCCGAGCACGCGGCCAGAGCAGAGGCCAGGCGACGCGTGCCCGAGAACAGATCTCAACTGTCCTGCGAGGCCAGGAGGCCCAGCTGTCTGCTCGAATCTTGGGCAGATGTGCGGGCAGCCCTGAAACCGCAGCCCCGCGCATCCGAACGAAGGGCAGGGCGAGTGATTCGGGCCGTTTGGTTTTTGCTGTTTGGTCGGCTCCCTGGTGGCTGTCGAAGAAACGCTGGGCCTGGGAGACATGCAATGACATGCAAGTGGATAGCGTGTCGCTCCGCTACGCGGAACGAGAGGCTGGGAAGCGCTCGGGACGTCGATGCTTGTTGGCAAGGGCGTGGTTGGGTCGCCCCGAAGCGTGGTGGGCCAGTACTGGCGGAGCGAAACCAAGCCAACATTCCCAACCGAAGTCGTGCGCAAAGACAGCCCGCCATCCCCACCGGGAGTCCCAGCTGACCTCAACAATTCCCCCAGGCAGTCCCAGCTGGCTTCAACAGGCCCCCCGAGCAGTCTGGGGCGGTGTCAAACACCTCAACCCTGGAGCGCGGTGTGCTCCAGGGGCGCCGCCAAAGGCGGCGCCCGGACTACTCGGAGGGCCTGTTGAGGTAAGCCGGGACTAGCTACATGGGGGGCTGTCTGTGCGCAACCCGAAGCCGTGCAAACCGTAGTCATCAACCACCCCCTGCCCAGACCCCCGACGTCAGGAATTTGTCCCAGGGGAGACCCTGGAGACCCCCAGAGGCCCCAGGGGAGTAGGAGGAGGTTGGGGGGGGAGGAGGAGGAGGAGGAGGAGGAGGAGGAGGAGGAGGAGGAGGAGGAGGAGGAGGAGGAGGAGGAGGAGGAGGAGGAGGAGGAGGAGGAG